TTTAAGAAGAAAGGTACAAAATATACTGATAAGGGATGGGAGAGCCAGCCAACTTGTCAAGCAAGAAGTTTCACAGACTATGGCAGAGCTTCCCAACCAGTGTGCTTTGAAACACCAACTGGTGGAGGAAGCTGCTGAGTCCCAGTACCAGTTGCTTCCAGCCTTCACTGTTCTCCCATACAAACAGTATCATTTTCTTTGTGTTATTTGCCCTGAAGAAGGTTGGGAGCATAGTCCAATGGCATAGGGTATATATAGTACATTTTACAATTTTTGTCTCCTTTAATTCTCCCAGCCATTATTTAGCTCCCACTTCACAAACAAGGAACCTGGAGTTAGAGAGAGGGTATGTGACTACCCCAAGGTCATGGAAAATAGTTAGAAAAGCCAGGAAAAGCTCTTCTTTCTCTTCTGATGACTTCCTTTTCTTTTCTCCTTTACATTCTCCTTCGATCACTTTTTATGCTTTTTAATAAATTGTGTGCATACTTTAATCCTAAGAAGAGTGACATAAAGAGAAATAAAATCTACCTTTGTTCATTTTTAATGGAAAATTAGAAAAGTAGGAAAACACCATCCAACCTATCAACATCAAAATATAAATAAAGCTAGTTCACATTTTAGTGATTTTTAATCTGTGCTTCCCATTCTTAGTGTTTTCATATTGGGTGCTAGCGATCCTTGTTCTGTTGTTTTGTTTTTCTTGTTTTAAACATACTATATATACAAGTTTGAATTTTACTTTTGTAGCTTAGTATTGTGACTTCAATATTTGCTTTTGTTGCTTAATTTTTGGAGACATCATTTTAATAGCCAAATAATAATCCTCAGTAATGCTCTGTCACATGAGTAAATTAAGTGTAAGTGTTGAATATGCGAATTTCAAGTTCAAATTTTCTGATTCTTATTTCTTTACTACTGTGCCATTCTCTGTTACTAGAATTCATGTCATATTTTATCCCAATTGTACATGAAATTCTTGATATCACATCATTCAAGACAAACAGGTGATTAAATGACACAAACAGTTCTTTAAAATTAAAAATAATTTTTAATTGTTTATATTCTCTGAACCTCAGACACCTCTTCTGCACAGATATTCTTCATCCTGTGACACAGAGAGCACCTGTGATGAAAGATTAATACAGAAAACTTGAAATTCCAAAATTATGATTGCATAACAATTATCTTCTTGGGTTTTCTTGATTTTATAAAATTTCAACCCCATAATTTCTAAAGGAAACCATTTAGAGAGACAACTCTAAGGAACAGTAAAAATAAAATGAAAAATTATAAATCAGGGCCTTTCCACCCCAATCCCAGCATTACATACTTAACAACTTTTTTAACTAGAAAGAAAGATGGGTTTTTTTTCCTAATATTTTCTTTCTCTCCTTTTTCCCAATAGAATTCAAGATGACTTATTCATCGCAAACCCTGCTTAATCTTAATACAAGGTAATAGCTTTCTTGTTGGGTAAATCCAGTGGAAATTTATGCTTATGGATGATGCTTCAGGAGCCTTTAGTTTTCCAAAGGCAGGGAGTGGGGAGAGGGGAAGGAAGTACAAGGAACAGGTCCCTTGAGGAAGAAGGAGTTCAATCAGGGTGGCATCTTCTGGAAGTCACATACAAAGGACTCTCAGTACTGCTCCCCTCTGCCACCCAGTCACTCACAGAGTGAGGGACAGGTCCCAAGCTCAGAGCCCTGGCACCTAGAACTACAGAGATGAAAGGGCAGGAGGTACTGGGAAAAGAGAGCAAAGGGCCCCATGTGCTTGTACCAAAGAGATTAATAAATGCCCAAAAGAAGTTGCTCAGGCATATTTCTAAGGTCTAAATGATCATTCAGTGAGTATTCATTAAATTGCCACAGAGCGTGGCACACTCTAGATGGTCAATAACATACCTGTGGAATAAATTATAGAAATGCCTTAAATGTGCGGGTGGGGGGTGGCTACTGATTCACAGTACTTGTCCTTGAGGTCAAGGGACCTCAGCCTGAGGTCTCAGCCCCTACAATCCCTTCCCAAAGGATGACTGATCATTTCTTTCCACTTGGAAAGTGGGTTGACACTAGATATTATAAAAGCACAAGGCCAGTGGTTATTATGGTCAGAAGCAGGGATAAACTCCCAGCTCTGCTGCATTGGGAAGCGACAGATTACAGCTTGAGAACTAAGGGCTCCATACAGGGGTATCCTTAGACCTGGCAAGGCCAGCCCCCCACTCCTGTTCTCTGCTGACCCCCTCATTCCATGCTTCATACTTCCAGGGACACAGAAACATGGATCTGAAAGGACTGCCTCCCTATAAGGCAATGTGTAGGGAGTGGCTTTTCAAAGGCCCCCAATAGCTCAGCTACTGACACTCAGAGTATTACACAATGTAGCAGTGAGGGGGCCTGACAGTGAAGTGACCATTGGAAAGATTGTGATTGAGAAGAGGAATTCCAGAGCCAGACTACCTGGTTGTCAATCTCAGCTCCTCCACCTGCCAGCTGCATGCCATAGGGTGACCACTTAGTATCCCTGTACCTCGATTTTCTTATCTATAATATGGTAACAGAGAGCTTCAGCTTCATGGGACTGAGGTGAAAATTAAATGAGTATTAACTCATGGGGCCCACTTAGAACAGTGGTTAGCACACAGGACATGCTAAGTAAGTGCTGAGTACCATTTTATTCTCTGTTCTGAGCTCCATTAGCCACCACGTGGGAACTTAGCATGCTTAGAATGAGAATCATGATTCCTGGTCAACTTTATTCCAAACACACCCATCCGTCCTGTCCTTTCTTCATAGTTTAGCTGAGTGGGTTTTCTGTTCTAGGGCCCTGAGGAAAACACAATGATCTGAGAAGTCCTGGGGCCTAACATGGGTCTGTCCATTTGCTTCTGGCTTAGGTGCCCAAATTTTAGGTCTGGACCCTGGAGTGCTTAGATAGGCCCTGGATTTTCCCGACACAAGGTTTCTGAGAGAATGAAGCCTCCACAAACCTCTAGGAAAACAGTGTTACACTTGTGTTTTTTAAGAAAGAGGGTGAGAAAAGGGAGTGCGCTCAAGTCAAGAGTTTCATGGCTCTCTTATAAATAGGAAGTCTCCTTTTCCCATTTCTCATGCATGCCCTGAAGGTCCCACAAGCACATGCCAGGGTCCTTCCCCACTCTGAAGCAGCTGCTGAAACTGTCAAAACTGGAACTGGGCCTGGAACTGTCAAAACTGTCTGGGATCTGGGATCCCATGGGTCCTCCTTGTACTCTCCCCATTGCAGATGGAGCAGGGAGCTAGTGTCGGCCCAGGTTGGTGGGTGCTGAGGCCACAGCAGAGCCCTGGCATGTGCCCCAGAAGGCCCTGCAACATCCCAGGCTAGAGCAGTCATGGCATAGAGGGTGCTAAGTAAATGTACACAGAGATGGAGATGACCAGAGCCACTATTACCTTAAGTATAATCCCTGTGTCTATTGTCAGCTTCGACTTCTCAAGGTCCTTTCCTGAGGATTTGCATTATCCCTTTGGGTCCCAGTGGGCACCTGGTGAGTGAGGTAGGGCAGGAATTATCTCACTAGAAGGAAAAGTCCACAGCAGGCTCCTGGTCTGTCCTTGAGGCATGGAGCAGGGTAAGAGCTGACACTTGCCTAAAAAGCTCACCTGTGTCCATTAGTTCTTGATCCCTACAGTCATGTGACTAGGACCCAGGCATCTTGCTGCTTGACTCCAGAGCCCCTTTCAATGGCACATCCTAAGAAGAGCTGCTTGGCCCCAGCCTGCTGATTGGTACAAACCCAGGCCCACCCACAGGGCCCTTGAAGTGGCCCAAGACCTACCTATAACACCCACAGATAATGAAAGATAACAGCTTTCTGGTGGTGTCTCCAGGCTTGAAAGAGTGGCTCCTCTTCTCTGCCTCAACCACTTTACCCACACTTTCAGACTGCAACCCCTGACCCCCTCCCTGTTCCTGCATTCAGGAGCCCTGATGCAGGCAGGGGATGACCTGTCTCAGGAAGGGCTGCTAAACTTCTTACTTCCCCTATGAGAATAGCAGCAGCCAAATTTCTCCCACCTTCATTTTGTACTCACCTATGGAGAAGTATGATTTTCAAAAAGGCAAAAAAACTGAGGCACAGAAGTTAAGTAAATTACCCAAAGTTATTTATGCAAGAGCCAAGATTTAAGCTTGGGTCATCTGACATCAAAGTCTATGTTTTTCTACCAACCATAGTTTCCACCCATTCATATGTTGGGCATTTTCCCTTACAACTCTTGGGCCAGTTTACATGAGATGACTTCAGGGCCAAAGCACCCCAAAGACCCTTCTCATCCCTTTGAATTACAGTTTCTTGCCTCCAGTTCAAAGTCAGAGATTCCTAAGGAAAGACACAGTGTGAGTCAGTGGGTTGGGGTAGTACCTCTTCATCATGAGCTACTAGGTAGCAGGGTCTGTACCCCACACCCAACACCCTGTCATCAGGCCCTGCAGAAACCTTTCTCAATGATGGTAGTATTTGTAGTAGGAAGACCAGAGGGGACAGACTTCAGAGCTTGATGTTAATCTCCTGTGACATCTACCTTGGTATTTTTTTCCACTGTGTCTGAGGCAGCTATGAGGCAGGAAGGGCAACTGGAATGATCAGGGCAATGAACCAGAAAAGACAGAGAACGTTTTGGAACATTGGACAGTCAGTTATAGAAGCCTGGCCCATTGGCCTTTGAAGGCACCCGCAGATTCTTCCACTCTAAGTGAAGCAGCATTTAGCAACATGGGGGTCTGCTGCCCAAAATGGCACACAGCCTATTTTCTGTGATCCACAATCTGGTCCCTTCTGCCTTGTGGTGACCACCATCTGGGATGGGCAGAAGTCCACAGGAGCTAGAGAGCAGTTACAACCACCCCAGCTTCCCAGAAGGCCATGGCTCTGGGTTCCTACCTGGCCCTTGTTTGGAAGTTGACTGAATCCTGTACTCTCCTCTGACAGAAGCCCGCCTGCTGGCATCTCTCAGGTGACCACCTTCTTCACTATCTCTCCTCCCATCTTTGAACCTGCTAGCAAGTCTCCTTATTATGTCACGAAGCCTTCTACATCCTTCATGAAGGATGATGGAGAATCTCTGTCCTGGCAGGACCAGGGCACACAGACGGAATACATCTATGAGACCAAGGGTAAGGGGAACTGCACCTGCTGCCCACCTGCAGCTGGGCTCCCTAGGGGTTGGGGGAGGAATGCATTCCATGTATGTAAAAGATCGGGGCTTAAGTATTATCTCTCATGCTGAGGGTATGAACTGCTTCCTGTGCCATTTGAAGTTGTATTTTGGATAAGAAGTTAAAACTTTTTCCCCTGGTTGGTGTAGCTCAGTGGATTGAGTGCGGGTCAATCCTGCATCCCGCGGGTCAATTTGCGATGCTGCAAACCAAAGCATTGCAGGTTCAATTCCCAGTCAGGGCACATGCCTGGGTTGTAGGCCACGGCCCCCAGCAACCACACATTGATGTTTCTCTCTCTCTCTCTTTCTCCCTCCCTTCCCTCTCTAAAAATAAATAAACAAAATCTTTTTAAAAAAATTTTATTAAAAAAAACCTTTTCTACTAGTCCTGCTGTAAACTTCCTCCATCCTAGACTCCCCTCAGAGAAAGAGCATCAGCAAAGTACTGAGACAATTACCTTCTTCGGTCTTTTTCTGTCTCTTCATTAATCTTCCTGTTCTTGTTCTTCATGAACACAGACTCTATTTCCCTCATGGACATAGGCCATTTCCTTCCCCAATTACAGACCCGTTCCCTAAGGTGATGGGCCTTATCCAGGTAATCACATGGACAGTGGCGGGTGCCCCTCTGGACGACCCCAGACTCTGTTTCAGAGTGCAGTCAAAGCAAGCCCTGACTCAGGACTGGTCAAAACCAGCCTAGTGTGAACTTTTGTGGTAACAACTGGGAGACTCAGAGACAGTCTAGCAAGGTTTCAGTGGGCAGCTTAATCCTCTACCCAAATAAGCCCAAAGGCCCCTCACTTTAGGATCCTAAGGATGAAACACTGAATTTCTCACCACTATTAATAATTTAAATCCAGCCTTAGTGAGATTGATCCATCACAGGTTCACAGATTTGTTTCACATCTGTAATCATGGCAGCAGTAAATTAGATTTTCCCATCACCTCATCTCCCTGCACCCATCTGTGCCTGCTAAATTTCATAGCTCCAATGTGGTTAAATGAAATTAGGAGTCTGAACCTATGTGGGAGAATGGAGAGGCAAAGGGCAGCCCACACAAGCTAGGAGGTTGGTGGCATAGGCAGCACATGATGAGGAGTGTTTTACAGGCCAAATCAAATCTTGTTGGACCTTTGTCAGCACATGAGCTCTGATTGGGCCCCAACCACTGGAACTATATCAAAGTCAGTAAGCATGACAGCTGGCAAAAATCTGAGCATTTCTCTACATATTCATAAGCAGTGTCCTGAAAGTTGTTTAGTGGGTAATCACTTGAAAGTGCCAGTGCTAAGCTTGAAGGGATGTGGGATAGAAGAAAGAAGATAAGAGAAGGCTGTGGTGTATGAACAGAGCCTGTTCATACCTCTGTGGACCCACCTCCATTAAAAAAACCCTCTGGAAATTACTATTTGTTTTGACCTGTTCATTCATGATCTTTTTGGTTTCTAAGTTTAATTTACAGAGCTAGTCATGCCTCTATCTAACTTAAATTTAAAGCACTCTGCATACTTGTTCCGTAGGGGCATGTTTTGCAATTGTCTTATCAGTACTAAGTTCCTTAATACCAACATATATTCTGTGTTTATTTAAAGTCTAGCCACCCACTGTAAATGTTCCCTGGGCCAAAGGTGTGGACCATATTAAAGCCAGGGTCAGTGACACATCCCAGGTTCCTGCAGTTATGTGAGGGGGTGATCTTTACAGTAAAGGTTGAAACACAGGGAAAAGCAAACAATTCCCTAAAATTCATGGAGGTTCTTCTCCTTACAACCTATCTGTTTGGAGAGCATTGATAATAATTCAGCAAAACTTGTCAGTAATAGGTACATAGCTGATCTGGCCAATGGAATGGAATGAATATATAAGAAAAAGACTTCTCTGAGAGAATGATTAGTTATAAGAGAAAGAAATGGAAGTGTGCAAGTGGAAACCAGGAAATATGGAGCTTCAGGAAGTTAGAAGAGTTCAAAATCATGTCAAGAGAAGATAAGGAAAGTGACTCAGGCCAAATGATCTGTGGATGATGTAGATGGGCCCATGCCAAGAAGGAAAGCCAGTCAGTCCCTCTGCAGCTGGAGCACAAAACACTAAGGATTCCCGCTGTGGCTGATGTCAAAAAAGAATCTACTTGCAGCCCATGGCTAAAGCCACCCACCTGCTTGCTGGAAAAACACAGACAATATGGACAAAAGCAATCCAAAGTGCTGGTGGTGTGGGGCCGAGGGCCAGCAGGAACAAGCAGAGATGACAGCCGTCATCAACACTGCTGATCCATGAGGCCAAGGCTGTGCATTCCCACCACTAAATACCTGTAAAGATCCCCAGCCTTTATCAAGATCCCTGCTTGCATTTTTAGCAAGATACCCAGAGGATTCTCAGGTGCAGGAGTGTTGGGGAACCACAGACCACAAGTATAGGATGAATACAATAGGATGCAAGTTTCTATTTTAAAACATCTTTTTATTATGAGATTGCTCAACCCTACGTGGGCCAGAAATGGCATTTTACATGGCAAATTCCTCCTCAGCAAATCAGACTGTGAATCAAATGTGGAGGAAATAAATCCTTGAAATCTTACTACAGAGAGTGGCAGATCCAACACGGAAGGATTGCTAAAGGTACCAGAAATGCCTCATGACCCATGTGAGGAAGCATACTGAAGGAGGATCAGAAAGGATATTGATGGCCTCCAGTGTCCACCTATCCAAGCACACATCAGGGTCATAAACACAGTATACCAAAAGTTCTGACACAGATCATTACATCCATGCTTAAAGAAATCCTCAAGACTTAGTGCCTGGCATACAGTGAGCACTTATAAATATTTGTTAAATACTTGTGAAATTGTTGCTGAATCCTCATCTGATTCAGAGCAGATATGGTGATGAGAAGAGTATATCTTATATACAAAACAAACAAACAAACAAATAAACAGTCTTACTAGAAAGAGAACAGTGTTTAGGAAAATGTGGATGAGGATAAATAGAAAGAGAGGAAGTGATATTAGTGGAATAATTTACTTTAAGCCACCTGACCAGATGGAGAGCAGGGTTGGAAAGCTCCTAAAAGTACATACTGGCATTTACACAAAGTTTCCCTCAGTGGACTCGGATTTTGAAAAATCACACGCAGTTTATAACTAGATGAGAATCTTACCTACAATAAGTGTAGGAAAATGGCTCAAACTTTAAGAAGAGTGTCAGGAGAGCTGATTGCCCAGGATAAACTTATTCTTACCAAAAGTAGTAGTAGTAGTAATGATAACAATAACAACAATAATTTGGGGGCCCTTTTAAAATATGAGCGGGGCAAAAAGATCAAGGCAGATAGTGTCACTGTTTAGTGCAATGTTGAGAAGTGACTCAGATAAAGTCATGTCCTTCAATTGCTGTTTAATTTTTACTTCATTGTGAAGGAAAATGACCTTCATATTGAAAAGGATACAACAAAATTAGACAAGAAATAGGGGAAAGCAAAGTTAGTGAAAAGATCAGAGGACATTGTTGTGTCCTAATCTAGAAAAAATACACCCAGAATATATAGAGAGAGAAAAATAGCTTGATCATGTTTATACTTTTCGAGAAATTGTGAAAAATTGGGAAAATGAGTCTACAACCAATCTGGGGCAAATACTGAGAGCAAAATGACCACAAGAAGCTAGCATAGGATTAACAAGAACAAAGCAAGTAATACTGGCTTTTAGCTCACTTTTTGATAGTTATTAGATCAGGAAATGGTGGTAATCCAGTAGACTCAAATTCCACAATGTGTTTCATTTCCAAAGCCTTCCTGATGTCCCTGTGGAAAAGAGAGTGAAATATCAGGTGGATGCTAATGTAAAATGATGGAGTGATAACTGTTGAATGATCACCCAGAGATACTGTTTAAGGACCAGAGTCAAACCAGGTTCCAGTGCAGAGCCACAGGGCTCTGTCCAACACATTTTATCATAGGCCATAGATACAGATGTAGGAGGAAAATCTGTGTTGGTAGATGACCTAAAGCTGTTGGGTGATGGGAACAATGTAATCAGATTCCAAAAGATCTTGACAGGCAGAAACATGGGACCAGAACTATTTATAATTAAATGCTGCTTTTAGGCCCATAAAAACAACAGAATAGAGACGTATAATGTAGGGAAACCCTCTTTATTGTAGATGCTTTACTCAACCATAAGCTCAGTAAGTCAATGGCATGACTGATATGAGAGCCAGAAAAGTTAATATAAGTAAATATAATTAAAAGATTCTATACAGAGGGATTAGTCCTACTCTAGCTTGCACCAAGGGTCAGCCTAGGGACAACTGATCCATCCAAGAGCTACCACACTCTATGCGGGCTAGAAGCAGACTGGTGGGATTTGGAGGAAAAGGTGTTGTTACAGCAGTCCAGGAGACTATGCCATACTAAGAACTGTTGAAGCAAAGGAATTGTAAAGTCTGGAAGACACATGTCTCTGAGATAGCATGCCTGCCTGCAAATACCTGGTGATCTGCCATATAAAACCAAGACCTGACCTCTCCATCTGCATTGAAGGACTAGCATAGCACTAGCTTCCAGAAAATATATTAAGAAAAAGAAATTCTCCCTAACAGTGAGAGCCATGCCACAATGAAATGAGTTTTCTTAAAAGTTGGACAGTTCTTGTCTGTAGAGGGCTTGGCCACAGCAGAAGAACTAGCAGTCAATGACAATGCACAAGTGCCAAGGCATCCAGGCATGGCAGACCAAGTCAAAGCCTAATACTCCCATGAGCAGATGGGGCAGTTTGCCTTTGCTTTTTCCTCATGGGCCTGCTCCTCTCTGCTATTAAGCATGGAACCTTGAGTGTGCATGTGTGTGCATGCACACCTGTGCACATTTATATGTGTATACATATATGTTTAGGAAGAGGGAGAGGTGGGAATGGGAGTGGCAAAAAGGAGTGAAGACAATAAATTTCAGAAGACACAAAGTAAGCATCACCAAGAACTTACAAAAGTTCTCAGAAAAATACAGTACCCTCCCATTGCATATCTTAGTGCATCTATACTAGACAACCCCATGTTTTTCAGCCAGCCCCCATTATGCATCTCTTAGGGGGCAAAAACAGCAGAAATAGCCACTTTCTACAGTGATAGCCATACCCCATTATTTATCACGGTCTTGGAGCCACATGGCTCTCTGGTTCTATATTCCTCCTACAGAAGAAAGAATATCTCCAAGGTGCCCCTTCAACCTCAGTCATGCTATCTATCCTGGGGACCTAATTGGCCCCATGGTGACCAGAGGAGAAGGCCACAGAGGGCCTACATTTCCTGACCACTGGTTCATTGCAGTCCTAGAAAAAAGGAGGATGGGCAGAGGGAGCCTCCAGTGTATACCAGCAGTCCCCTCCAGCCAGTTTTTCCCCTCCATTGATCAGCCTTGGGTGCCAAGAAAGAACCTCAGACCCTAAATGTCCATTATGAACCCACTGGAAAGCGTAAGGTTAAAATAATTAATGGCCACCCTTTTCTGTCTTTTAACAGGACCTTCAAAATTAAAACTAAAAACAGAGCAAGAAGGCTCAACAATACTATCCACCTTGAAGTCAGGTTCAGAAGGTATTATTTTAATTTTAGAATTTAATGATGATTTTAAATGACTTTCAAAAGTTACATTCCATCAGGAGAAGGTAAGAAACACAGAATTATCAAGCCACCAGCCAAAGAGAGCCCTCTTTGGATTATTTTATTTTTTCTTTGTTTGACTTATTGTTATTCTATTACAGTTGTCCTATTTTCCCCCTTTGCCCTTCTCCCCCTAGCCTAACACTTGCTCCACAGTCAATCCCCACACTATTGTCCATATCCATTGATCATTCATACATGTGCTTTGACTAGTCCCTCCCCCTCCTTTCCATCATTATCCCCCTCACATCACCCCTCTGGCCACTGTCAGCCTGTTCCATGCTTCTATGTCTTTGGTTCTATTTTGCTCATTAGTTTATTTTGTTCATTACATTCTTCTTATAAGTAAGTGAGATCATATGATATTTATCTGTCATTGACTGGCTTATTTCACTTAGCATAATATTCTCCAGTTCCACCCATGCTATCACAAAAGGTAGGAGTTCCTTTTTTCTGCTGTGTAGTATTCCATTGTGTAAATGTACCACATTTGATTCACTCATCAACTGATGAGCACTTAAGCTGTTTCCAGCACTTGGCTATTGTAAATAGTACTGCTATGAACATAGGGGCGCATAAGTTATTTTAAGTTGGTGATTCTTAGGGTGTATTTCCAGCAGTGGAATTGCTGGATCAAAAGACAGTTCTATTTTTGGTTTTTAGAGGAAACTCCATACTGTTTTCCACAGTGGCTGTACCAGTCTGCATTCCTACGAACAGTGCATTAGAGTTCCCTTTTCTCCACATCTTTGCCAGCATTTGTTGTTTGTTGATTTGTTAATGATGGCCACTCTGTCAGGTGTGAGGTGGTATCTCACTGTCATTTTAATTTGCATCTCTCTGATGGCTAGTGATGTTAAGCATCTTTTTATATGTCTATGGCCTCCTTGGAGAAATGTCTATTCAGGTCCTTTGCTCATTTTTTAATTGGATTTTTTGTCTTCCTGGTATTGAGTCATATGAATTCTTTATATATTTTGGAGATTAAACCCTTGTCTGATGTATCACTGGCAAATATGTTCTTCCATATGGTCAGTTACCTTTTCATTTTGATGGTGTTTTCTTTAGCCATGCAGAAGCTTTTTAATTTGATGTAGTCCTATTTGTTTATTTTTGCCATTATTTCCCTTGCCTTAGGAAATATATCAGCAAAAAAAATTGCTACATGGGATGTCTGAAATTTTATTGCCTATGTTTTCTGCTAGGACTTTTATGGTATCATGCAATCCCTATTAAAATACCAATTGCATATTTCACTGATCTAGAACAAATCCTTCAGAAATTTATATGGAACCAAAAAAAGACCCTGAATAGCCTCAGCAATCTTGAGAAAGAAGAATAAAGCTGAAAGGATCACAATACCTGACATAAAACTATACTCCAAGGCCACTGTAATCAAAACAGCCTGGTACTGGCATAAGAACTGACACATAGATCAATGGAACAGAATAGAGAGCCCAGAAATAAATCCATGTCTCTATGGTCAACTGATATTTGATAAAGGGAGCATGACATACAATGGAGTAAATATAGTCTCTTCAATAAATGGTATTGGGAGAACTGTATGGGTATATGCAAAAAAAAAAAAAAAATGGAACTAGACCACCAAGTTACACCATACACCAGAATAAAAAACAGATGAAAGACTTAAATATAAGTTGTGACAACACAAAAATCTTTTAACCATTTTAGACTAGGGAAGCCTAATTAAGACCAGTGGCCAAGGTATTATTTCTAGGGCTTGGTGTCAAGGTTCAGGGATCAGGTAAGAAACTGAGCCAAAGGGTAAGTGCTTTTAAATCTGAATTAAAATTGAATTTTCAAATGGGAGGAAACATTTATCAGTGGAGGTAGGAGGGAAAATAATGGTTCATTCCATGACATTTACTGTATACCTACTGACATTTACTGTACACCTACTATATACTGGGCAGAATATAAAGATAGACAAACCCATCATACACTCTCAGAATTTAAGTTCTAGTGGGCAAGATAAAAAATGAACAAAGGAAGAAGAATCAATATTTATTGGGCATTAGCTACAGGCTTCAAACTGCTAAAGATCATGGAAGTTTCTTATCCCAAAACATGTGATCTCCACCCTGGTCTCCCTAGCCATTTAGAAGATGTTTCTAAATTGATTCCTTCAGGGATCCAAAGGTCTAGACTAGTTCACCACACCACATTCTATTAATAATTTTTCCTATTCTTTTTCAATGCGTGCTACCACTGAAGTGCTGCAAGAGGAAGAAAATGGTGAGAGTCCCACATGATATATCCAAAGATCCCTGTTCCCTACACAATGTCCAGGGTTGGGGATGGTGCCCCACATGGGTGAGTGCCCTGCTGGTCCAGGCTGTACCAAGTCCTAGAGAGGACCTATGGACATGCTGAGCACACAGCCCTAGAACCTGGATATCCTTCCCTGTCCTTTCCTGAAAAAGGGAGATAGATCAAGAAGCAGAGAGAGGGTCTCTGGAGCAAGACAGAATGACTTGGCAAAGGGCCAGAAGTCCATTTTTCTACTCAAGCTCTGCTATACAGAGTCCCACATTTAAAGAGGGTCTAGTTGGTTGCTGGGTCCCCTGAGGTCTGGACAGCAGGACTCGACTGGAATGCATGGGCCCCTCCCGAGAGCTCGCCTGATGACACCTTGATAGGGAATAAACTGGAGCCCCTACACATGGTGTCCTGAAAGACTTGTTACATTTTTATTAAGGAAGGGTTAGAATTTTACAAGACAGATGAACAAGAGGAAATCCTTATGGTAGTAGAATCCCAACTTGCATACATCACTTCACAAAACAAAAGCCCTGCAATTAACCCTGCAGACCATCCTATTAGTAATTCAAGGACTTTCAGCATGGTGGGTGTGATCCTGATACACAATAGTGTATCAAACAAACTCTTTCAAATTCTAAACCAGGGGTGTCAAACTCATTTTCAGCAGGGGTCACATTAGCCTCATAGTTGTCTTCAGGGGGCCAAATGTAATTTCAGCTCCTTAACAGTTAAGCAGTAGTTACATTTATATAGTCCTAAAATTATTTCGGCCCTTTGAAGGCAACCACGAGGCTGATGTGGCCTCCATTGAAAATGAGTTTGACACCCCTGCTAGACTATGCATCCCATCTGCTACCCTACCACTCTCAGAAGGGTACTTATCAATAGAATTTATTTTATTCCATTTCCAATCAGGGAGGGTATTAGGAACTTTTGCTGCTCAGATGTTAATGTGTAGAGAGAGAACCAGGGACCTGCTAACATATTCTGACTCAGAAGTCTGAGATCTTACATTCCTCACAAACACTAGCAGCAACAACTCTGCTGATCCACGGGCCACACGTTGAGTAGCAAGATTGTAGAACAGCTTACAGATCTGTACTCTTAGTAACTACTATCTGAGATAACACGGAATCTAGTATATGAAAGGTCAAAGAGATGAAAAGAGCACTGAATTGCAGAGCTAGTCCCAGGTTAATCAGTCACTACTATTCCTCACCCTTATACCATCTGTAACTGGAGATCTGCCCAGCAGAGCAAATACACATAGCTTCAATATCTCTCCCAAACCAGAAAATGCAGTTCTGTCAAGAAAAACATTAGAGGACAGGCATTGAGTGGATGGGGAAAATTTAAGATTTGCTCTTAATCGGATGTGGGGAAGACACACTCCACTTTAGGGGATCCTGTGTGCCAGGCACTTGCCTAGATTAGCATGGCTTCCTCTGAGACACCTTGAAGACGAGCCTTATTGGCCCCATCACAAAGGTGAGGGGAGTGGAGTAGAAAAGGGCTGTGTGGCATGCTGGTAGTGGCCCAGGTCTTTGATTACAGGCCTGAAACTCCTCACCCATACCTCACCAATCCTCCCATAGAGCCATTTCCTGAGAAGATAATTCTCTCACTCTAACAAAGTTGATTAGGAGTAAAGCTTTTCTGTCTCATTCAGGCCCAGTTAGGCCTATTAGTGTGCATTTACTGTGCTTGTCTTGACAGGTGGATGGTGCCCATCGATGTTAATAAGGTTAAGTATTATGTTGAACCAGACACTTGTGAACACTCTGTTCAACAGTATTCAGGACTGCTGAGTCACCTTCTTCCCTTGATTAACACCTACTTTCCCCCCTCAATTTAACTATGTATTATTCAATAAAGCCTATTAAAATAGAGCAATTACAAATGATGGGGATATGTTAAGCTTTCAGGGCCAGAGCCAGACTCATATTCTCAGTCTCAGGCAGCACATACTCAGAGACCTGCAGGCACTGCCACTCTGTCTCTCCAGCTCCTTCAGGTCTCCTCTCCCGTGACAACATGACAACCAAAAGGAGCTCCCTGAGTGCCTCCTTGAATACCCATGGATTCTTGTTGGTTTTTTCCCAAATGACTTTTAAAACTTCTCTTGGCCAGTGTTTTTGGAATCGAGTTGAAAGGGACCCTTGCCTTTGCCAGTTGTCAGTATCACAATGGGATGGTGTGTGCCTGAGGTATCTATAGGAAAGAACTGCTGAGGAGATTCATAGCCTGGGGTACACTGCAGATGGTGCAGGTTTCTACCAGGAATAAACCAAAGCTGGGTAGGAGGACTGCAGGCAGAAAGGCCCCTGAGCCTGGTGTGGATACAGACAGATCCAGCTGAGTGGAATTCTCCATCCCACCAAGAGCCCAAAGGAGTCAGTTTTTATTACTGAACCAAAATTGGGAAGAAGAACAAATATTACAAAAATACATGTGGCAATCACAAAGAATATCCCTTCTCCACCCCCAAAGACATAATAGAGACACAAAATCAGACAAAATAAGTCAGTCCTGTGCCAATCTGGTAGATGTTCAGGCCTCTCTGTGTGGCCCAGCTTGAAGTGGCTAGTGTTACTCTGAAGCTGAGATGACAGGCCCCTGTAGTTTCCCCAGGGGCCCAGTTACCATGTGAGAGATTTTCCTTGCAGCTCTGCCTCGGGATCCACACTGTCCTAGGAGCAGGGAAACCAGACCCAAGTTGTAATGATCAATTCCTCGCCTCAGTTTGCACCCCTTCAACAGTGGAAGCTTTAAGCCCCTTTTCTGACCCAGAGGGTCACCAGGCTGTGGCTGGCCTTGAAAACAAAGACATTCATGATCTCCAGTAGACTTTTTTATACCTCAGTAGCTTGGGGATTCACCCTTTGCCTTTAATTTGCAATTATGAAACTATGTAATTCCAGACATAGGCAATTTTTGACAAAACTGGCAGGATGTAGGAATATTTCTCAGCATTTCCAAGAGAAAATCACACTAAGAATAAATCTCTTTCACAATAAATCTAGTTCTTCCCACAGCCTTCAAGGTCTTGGGTGAGTTGGCCCTCCCCCACCCCCTTCTCTCCTCCTGCTGGCCCTCCTTCATGCTCACTCCTCTCCAGGTATACTGTGCCCCCTGCAGTTTGTCAAATACATCAATCATGCTCCTACTCACTCTCACCTCAGGGCCTTTGCACCTCCTAGCCTCCTGGTAGCAATGCTCTTCCCCAACTATCTACCCACTTGTCCCCTTGCTTCCTTCAGGACTCACTCAAATGTCACTTTTTCAGAGAAAACTTTACCAGCCACCAAGGACACACACTCACTTTCTTCAGTCAGCCACTGAAACTTACCCTTTTCTTCCCATTTTATTAATATCCTCCAGTTGAAGATTAGGAAATTTGATGAATTTACTTAAAGTCTTATAGATAATATATGCATTTTTATTTAAAAGGGCAAAAGTAAGTGCTGTAAATCTATTTCCTTTTTTGTTTTCGTTTTGGTTCTTTTTCCATATGCCTTTCCTTTGCTGTGTCTTCCAAAATTGAAAGCAATGAAGTTTGTCTCTCAAAGGAACTTTTGGGATGATACATTAAATGAGCCCATAGACACACTGGAAGTTGAAGACTTCAATGACAATGTAAGTTGGATAAAAACTTGAGACTAAATTGTGCACCTGATACCTGTATAATTTTGTTAACCAGGCAGAAAGACCCCTGAGGATACAGGCAGATCCAGCCGAGTGCAATTCTCCACCCTACCAAGAGAGGGAGCATCCGAATAAATTGAATAAAAGGAAATTAAAAAACAAACAAACAAACAACAACAACAAAAACACCTCAAGACCACTCTGCTTCATAAATTGGGGCAGGTGGCCCAACACCAGCTGGTAACTTCCTCATGAGCCATGGGATTCATAGCTTCACTCTGTTGTTAGCACAGCCCAAATGAGCTTTTCTTATGACAAATACAAATTTAAATGACATACATTCAATTGAAGAGAGTCATAAAAATCCAAATATGGCACTCCAAGGCCCTAGTTTCAGAGTGCCCTGCTGGCAATATGAACAAACACCCTCAAGATTGCTTTTGAAGGCAAGGAAGCCAAAACAAAATATGCAAGTCATCTAGATATCAAGGAAAATTGTTCTTTGTGAAACCCCATGTCAAAATGAAGTTAGATTCTGGAAACATGAACTAGATGTATTTTTCCAACTAAGTACAGCTTTAAACATTAGACATTATATACAAAATAAACATAAGAAGCTTCTGAAAGACAAAAAGAAGAAGGCAGTCCAGGTAGGGACCTGGAAAGTTAATGAACAGCATGACAGTGAGTTTCCTGAGTTTTCTTTTTGTTCCATATGTCCTTGACTGGGTGCTAGAAAAGACAGCAACCAGAAACCCCAACCAGCACAGACAACAAAACTCCCAAGAAAAGCTGGCTGTCTCTAAGGAAAGGACCAGGGATGAGGCAGCCTAGCAACATAGAAACTTTGTACAATCACCTCTGTAAGCAAACATCGCAACAAACAGCATTGAACCACTTCCCCAGGCCTGTAGTTCTGCTAACACCACCCTTTCAAGGGGCCTAGAACCATCCCTGGGCAGGCATTCTTTCCCCAGCTGTATCCAGTAACCAGAAATGAGACAGGAAGTTATAATAGTTTGAATAAGCCCCACATCTATGGTGTGTGGTGTTATCTTTACTGCAGGAATTCTTTTCCTGGTACATCCTAGTGGCTCTAACTGCTTGTGTCTGACCTCTAAGACTTACAACAGATGTTGATCCAAGTGGAAGAATTATTATGCATCCTCTCTACTATGGCTAAGAAACTTTCTTAGGGCTATAGGTACTAATTACAATCACAAGACTGAAATTGTGTGTCCCTAGAACTCAATATAAAGCAGATATATTTTTCCAAACTTTCCCCCAAAAAGGCAAAAAAAAAACCAAAACCCAAAACCCTAGGTATTTATTTTTGTCTTTTTTTTTAACTGGGAAATTTTCTGGTCTCAGTTCATATTTAGCCCTAAATTCCTTACTTTCCACACTTACCTTCTATACATATAACAGGGTGGGGCAAAAGTAGGTTTACTTTTGTTCATATGGAAAATGATACAATAATGAATAAATAATAATACAAGAATGAATTTTGTGTTTTGCAAACTCACAACTGTAAACCTACCTCTGCCCCACCCCATATATTAGTAAGAATTTGCTTTTCAAATACTGAAATACCACACCCAAAGAAGAAAACAGATTTCTTGAGCTTAGATTCAACTGCATTGGATTTACTAAGACAGGATAGCAAACTGGACCTTTTTAGAAAGATTTTTCAGCAAGAGTTGAAATTTAAAGGAATTGTTTTAATTAGAAACTTGAATTATTCAGAAATCTTCAGCATGCCTGTCAGCTGAGGTTTTACTGTATTGGGCTAAGCTGTGGTCACAGACAGAAGTGAGACATCTCCCTTGCAGCTGTGTGAGCTTCTGGATGAGCACAGCACGTTGGGAGGGGCCCTGGGACAGGTAGGCTATGCAGGCAAGCTCCAATCACAAGCACCTTGCCTCGTCATCTCAGGTGACAAAGTATGCATAGATACATCCCCCTTGCTGTTTATACCACTCTGCCTCCAAGGATCAGGTGCTTAGGACACTCAGACAGCATCCATGTCCCAGATACTGGCATTCTCGTGATAGACAGCTATACAGCTAGGTGAAGCAGTACTTCTCCAAGCTAAATCATCAGCAGCAGATGTGGACAAGTGGGGCCAGAACAGGACAAAACGAATGGAATGAATGCCACAGGCTACCTACAGCTGAAAGACTTTTGAAGCCCCTTTGTGGGGGAATACCTGAAACCACTGGAATACAAACTAGGGAGCAGGATGTAAAATCCTCCCATTTGGATAGGAGCTATCAATCTATACTTTGGTTATTCTGACAATTCAATTCCCTTGCTGTTTTTAGTTCATTCTGCTTGCTTTATTTCTATTACAAACCCATGCATTACAAACCCTGCTATGCAAACTCTTTTGGTTTTAAGATCCTCCTCACCCAGGAGGAGTCTCTGGCCCTAGGGTGCTCAATACACCTACTATGACAATGAGGACAGTTCTACTTTATAGACTAGAGAAGCAAATGGGACCAACCTCATGAGGTGGTGTATGCACTGGCTAAATTGAGTGGGATGGCACAGCCTAGATAGGGTGAGAACTTCAGCTCAGCCCATGCAGTGAGTCTGTTGTCTGGTGGACTACAGTAGGCACTGCATTTTCTGCAGAACAAAACAGAATCCAAAGGAGATGGTGAGGGATCACTGGCTGAGGCAAATAGGAAGTAGTTCCACCCAAGAATGGGATTGTCAACAATGAGGAACTTAGAGACAAGACACCACAGGCCGTAATTCAACCTGTCCTGAAACACTGATTTCAGTGTTAAAAGATAAACTGAGGCATATTAAATATTTTAAGAGTTTTTTTGATCATGAACCAGTTGCAACTGGTAATCATCAAACCAAAAGCTGGCTGCTTGTGATTGGTTGTCCTTAGAGTTTGATTTTGTAATCTCGAGGCATTGACAGACTTAGATTTTGATTTATGTAGGCCACCACAGCCTTAGAGCTACCCTGGGATAATAACCTCCTTGTTTAATTAATTTAACACCAGCAATGGGCAGAAGCTGGGAATCAGACAAGCTAGACCTGAGACACCTCAGCTTTCACCACAACCTAGATAAACTGACCAAACACAGTTGGAAACACAGTTTCTTCTTATATCTGTCCTAGGTCACATACAACTCTAAATATGTTGGTCTTCTGCTTGCTATCAAAAACCAATAAGTTAATGGCATGCTGTACATTATCAGATGTTGAACAACAATAATGACAACCTCCACTTGCAGGTGTGGGCATGGCAACATGACAGATCCATGGATTTCCTCAATAGCAAGCCAACTTCCATCTTCTATTGAAAGGGATCCAAAAAAAGAAACTCTTGGGAGGACCCACCTATGTGTCAGTCTTGGTTAGCATCATGGACTTGGGCTAGAACAAAACTGCAAAATAAAAAAGGCAGCTTGCAATGTCATTACTTGGGAAGAATCTTTAAAGGTAGAGTTGTCTTAGAGGTCCAATACAGGAAATTAGAGCCACTAAGCTGTACCAGCAGGGAAAGAATTCATGCAGGTGCTGCACTGCTGTCCTGAAGACAGTCATTCTTCACACTGAATAAATGAGCAACCGCTGAGAGGTTGACCATTCCTGGAATTCAGAAAGCCTGTTAAGCTCTCAAAGCATGAAAGCATTTTTACTTTCTTTTTTAAAAACTATCTTTAGCTCTGTATCTTTTTTTTAAGATTATATTTACTTACTTTTAGAGAGAAGGGAAGGGAGGGAGAAAGAGAAGGAGAGAAACATCAGTGTGTATTTGCCTCTCACATGCCCCCAAATGGGGACCTGGCCCACAACCCAGGCATGTGTCCTGACTGGAAATCAAACTAGCAACCCTTTGGTTTGCAAGCCAGCACTCAGTCCACTGAGCCACACCAGCCAGGGCCATTTTTACTTTCTATAGCCATCTCCACATTTGGGAAAAGAGCACAATTTTATGCTCTCAAAAGATTTTTTGGTATGCTGCAGTTAAAAAAAAGATCTTGAAGAAATTGGGAAGAAGGTATGATAATAATGGAAATATTCCTTAAAACAAATCTTGCTAGGCACCCTACTGTACCCACTATTTGTGACTTTTGAATAATATGTTGAAATCTCACCTGGCACCTGTGGGAGTCAGAAAAGTGGTTAATTAGTAAATAGTTAATCCCAGTTTTCTGGATATCTTATTCTGTGATCCTTTCATAGCTTTTTAAGAGCTCGTATGACTCAGTGTTTAGGACCATGATCAAAGAAATGGCTGCTCACAATGAACTGGAAGAGGATATTTACATTCCCCTGACTGGCCATCTGGAGAGTGAAACCAGAAGGAAACTGGCAATTCTGTAAGTGACTGGAGAGATTGAGGTATTGGTCAGTGGGTTGAGGTAGGTCAGAGGTAGCACAAGGAAAATGTAAATTGGGCCACCAGAGAAAAGAGCAAGGCCAGGGCCAGGCAGGCACCCAGAGACAAAGAGCAGGCACAAGCCAGGCAGAGGAGCAAGGAAATCCATAAGCATGGGGGATCCAGGATAGGATCAAAGGCAGGCAATAGTGGAAGTTGGAAATCGAGGGCAAGAAAAGTCTTGAAGGGACCATGAACTTGAACAAAAGTCTGGGGAACAGGGCTCAGAACCCTGGGCCTTTTAAGAGAACGGCCAGTGGGGGAATCTAGATCCTGGGCAGCTGCCCAAGAAATCTCCTGGCCGTGTTCTAGGCTAAGCCAATGTTTTTTCATGCTTCTTGGACAGGGAAAGCCTTGAGCTTCACTGACCTGGAAGTCATGGCCAGAAGCCCTGTTTGGAGGGGAGAATGATAAAGTTATTGCAGACTGTGGCTGGCACCAGGCCTTTCTAGTTGGCATGACCCCAATCACAAAATATTCCCAAACCCCAAGTGTACATCCACCGTGTGCTCATTCATATTCATCCTGCTGTCAAAAACCTTGGTGAGCAAGGTGCATTTTGAGACCTTCTGTGAGTTTATCACAAATTTTCTGGCTGTGGTGCCAAGGAACAAGCTATGGGGAATGGGTTTTCCTGCATAATCTCCTTGATGAGTTGAGGCTTTCACAGAAATCAGGAAGAGAGAACGACCACCAGCAACTTCTGCTTTAGGCTCAGCAGTGTCCTGGGGCTAGAGACCACTGAGGTTTCTCTAGGAAAGGGGAAGGCAAATACCCAGGCTTTCTAATCCTTATACAGATACAAAAACAAATGCCGGAAAACATCCCAGTAAGTTATTCTGCCTCATATATGCTATTTCCCCTGCTCCATTCCTCCCCATTTGAGCCTATTACTGAGGCTCATTCTAAACTAGTTACACTCAACAAATATTTCCTGAGCACCTACTGTGTGCTGATCTGTGTGGTGATCTTTTCAGTACCCCTACAGTCTTTGCCATTGAGGAGCTACCGTGTAAGGTGGGCAAAGGACCAAAAGGAAAAACCTTCCCCAAAGGGCATTGGGTGCCTCTGGCTGGACTTAACTCTTAGTTAAGAGTTGTCTTAACCTTTGCAAGTATTTGGCACCCTTTCTTGACCTCTGGGACAGGTATCACCACACCTACTGCTCAGTCCTCATTCTTTCACAGGTAATGGTAAGTTAGGTAACTGCTTCTATTCCATTTAAAGTGTGAGCAAATAAAACATTTGGTACAAATGGGCCATGAAGAGCTCATTCTCAAGTTCTGTTACTGCTTCTAAAGCACAGATAGTAAACCTTGGTTCTCTGCCAAGTGAAACAATCCAGCCCTTTCCAGCAAAGAATGTTTGCTTCTGGGATTTTTGGGGTTGAATTATTATGCCCTCTTTAAGGAATCTGAACTGAGAACTTAAAACCAGTCATGTCAAAAGCCTTCTTCTCAGATGTAATGAAGCTGGGAAGCTCACTCCTTCTGGCACATTCCCTTTCAAAAGTGTTCTGATCTGAGAACAAGAAAACACAACTCCCCCTGGAGACCATCTTAATTTGGAAGAACAACAGTCCAAGCCATTGAAATGCCAGGATGACTTGCTTTGTGTATTGACATGAGAGGGTTTTGCGGGTTTTAAGGGTTTGATTATTTCAAAAAGCTGTGCTTTGGCATGACTTTCATGGTGAGTCATTCTGAATGGGATTACTGAAAAATTTCCTACTAAATGCAAAAGGGTTTCAAATGGCTGTCCAGTTCACAAACAATGCTGTTTTTCCAAGCTATTTCCAAATGTAACCTTCACTGGAATACTCACAAGCTGTAGAAAAGTCAAGCTGCCTGAGCTTAACTCATGAGGCCAGCCTTGCATTTGAACCTTTTAGCCCTGTGTTAGCCCCAAAGATGACCTTTGTTAAATTTATTTTTAAAAATTTGGGGGTCAGCCCAGGGGTCCAGGATGAAGGCCAGTTAGAGGCCAGGAGGGAAGCACTGAGTCAATGCCATGTGCTGTCCCTTTACTACTGAGCTCTGACTGGAAGAAAAGGTGGGTCCAAAAGAGCTATCAGCTCAACTTTCCACCCATAAAAAGACTCAACAGGTTCTAGCACTGTCTACACTGTGTAGTATGACATATAAACATGAATTTAATCTCAGCTTTTAAAGATAATCCACATTCCTTTTAGGATGAAGACAAATTTTGAAGAGTACAAGGAAAAAATTCAATGGATTATGAAGAAACGTGAAAGTAAGGACCACTCTATTATCATCTATCTGTGACTGGTTCTCCTGTGTTCATTTCACTCTGCCTCTCACTTCCTGCCATGTCTGAACAGGAGGCAGAAATGCTCACTCCCTCACTTGATCACCTACTGGTCTAATAAGGTCCTAGCTGCCAGGGACAAAATATGGAATAAGATGGACACAGTCTGGGATCTCAATGGGACTATGCTTTGTGGTGGGGGGGCAGGGGGTGGGGTAGTGAGGATAGACAAGAAAACAAGGATTTGGCATACAGAATGGTTAAGTGATAGGGTGAGAAGGGGATGCTATGAGACTACACAGAAAGAGCTCTAACCTAGATTTGGGGAACTCCAAGAAGTCATTAACATAAAGTCTGGGAAAGAAATAGCCCCTTTACCAGATAGTGAAGACATTTGATGTCCAGCTATTAAGATTTGCCAATCATGGAGCTTGCCAGTTTTTTGGGTCTCATCATAGAAAGCTTGAGGCAAAGGCCTAAGCTATCAAGCTGCTTAATTCAGAAACTCAAAACCATGATACGGAGTATCTCTCAGATTGCTAGATCCAATTAACACAGAAATGGCAATGATAACAATGGCAGACATAACTAATCAATCATAGTCTTTTTCTTGCAAGCCAGGATATAGCCTCAGATTTTCTCTAAAGGAAGTACTCCTGTGCCCCAATACCAATTTATGCCCCTGACATAACTCTCACAAAATAATTGCTATGGGCTAGGCATTTTCACATATGCTATTTGATTCAAATTAATTTTCATAACCATGTGAAGTAGCATAAAGAGAGTAAGGCTCAGAGAGGCTAAGTGACTTGCTTGAGATCACCCAGTCATTGTGTGCGCATGAGCCAAACTCTTATCCAAAACCTCTCAGGCCAAAGCCAAGGCGTATCTTCTTGGCATATTCAATGTGTCAGGAAAAGACAAAGTGGGGGCCTTATAAGTCTAGGTTTTATGTCCTCAGTGGAGCTAAGAGGCAGGGAGAAGAAGGAATCACCACCTTCGTTCAGCTTTTACAGTTAGAGGGCCCTGCTTCCCACCAAGACTCACACAATGGAGTAGCCCCAAATAAAACAGGGGATTCAAATGCTCAGCAGCCAAGAACATAAGAAATGTCTAGTACACTTAGTTCACTGTACCTGTATTCTCTTTATACTTCTGTGTCCTCTGGACAGCAGATACCTGTGTCTTCCGCTCCTTGGTACCTTGGTAAGGCACACAATCAGCACTCAGTAAGTGGTTCTTGGACAAATGCAGGCTTGCATGATTTTGTGCTCCATTTGGGAAATTAAGACCTTTCAGGATACTCTATTGTCACACACCCAGTGTATGACTTCCAGTTGAGGACTGAAATTTGATATAATGCAAATGGCCACATTCCCCATGGTACCTTACTACCACCCGTGCCCACTCCCAGCTCCTCTGGACAACTAAAGCCTAGAATGTTTCAACTTTTTATACAGAAAAGCAACATTTTTAATTTATAAGAGGCATCCCTTCCATGTTCTGGTTGTAACCTGTCCCAAAGAAATCTCCCAGTCTCCTTTGATATGCAAACTCATGGACTTCCAGTATCCAGCCCATATTACGGGTGCATAGCCCCATATCTCTAAACACTGATTTTCAAGAGAAGGCTGGCTTCAGGGATATGTGATCTCTACAGTCACACAGGGCCTCACACATATAAGGGCTCTGCACTGGGTTTAAAGCTCTGCTGTCACTGCCTTAACTTCTTATAATTTTAGAACAAGGACCCCTACATTGTCATTGAATGCAGGGCCCCTCAAATTATGTAGCCTTTCCTGTTAGAGCTATCTAGTCTGGTGGAAAGTGTGAAAACATTACACAGCTTGAATCATGAACCATCAACATTCAAAGTTCCTGTGTGAATGATACCAGTAGGAGGCAGGCATGGTGCAGGTATTATTTCACAGAACCCCCACAAGTCACTGTAGGCAGCACTTTACCACTAAGGAAACTGAGGCTCAGAAAGGTGGCCTAAAGTTTTACCTAATAAAGGCAGAGCCGAATGTATAGCACAAGCCAGAATGTTCATGATTTTAGCATTCTGACGGAAAAAAATGAGTATGTAAATGTCCTTTTTTATCATTACCATTTTAGAAGTGCCTTCTATTAATTTCTAACTGATACTCAGGAACAGTAGCTGGGGTCACTTCAGCTTCTGCACTCGCACAATCATTACCACTCTGTCAACAAGCACTGGAGAAAGTGCTCTTGAGAGGGAAGCTGAGACCCAATTGCTAATTTCTTACAAAGGTCTCCAGGTGACCTTGCCCTGCCCACTCCCCTCTTCTCATTTTCCTGAGCAAAGATCTCCCTCTCTGAACTCTAAGTAGTGGCCTCTTGATTTATTCAGATGTGCTGTGGACCTTGCTTGATTCTCCCTTCACACTCCAACCCACACTGTCTCCATTCTCATGAATGCTACCCCAGACACCCACATCTCTCCCCTGGGAGATCTCTCTGGTCTCCCTGACTCCCATCTTCTCCCTTCTAAGTCCTTTCTTCACATTGTTTTCAGTATAATCTTTTAAAAACTCTTTATTGGTCTTCCATTACCTCCAGGACAATGCCCACATTCCTCATGAGGCTTAGATTGCCCTCACTTCTCCTCTCCAGACACACTGGCTTTTTGTTAGTCATTGAATGGGCCAAATACCTTGGCTGTAGGGCCTTTGTACTTGCTGTTCCTCTGCCCAGAGCACTCTTTACTCCAATATTCCTGTGGCTGCTCCCTGTGCTTAAATATGACCTCAGAAATAAGGTCCTTGGCAACCCAATGAAAACCAGCTTGTGCTTGTGTACACATACATGCACATACACTCATATCATTTCCATCCTTCTTGTCCTGCTTAATTTTACTTTGGAGCTCCTAACCATCTGGCATATTACATATTTTGTTGTTTTTTTATCCTCACCTGGGGACATGCTTATTGATTTTAGAAAGAAGGGAAAGGGTGGGGGTGGAGAGAGAAACATCAACATGAGAAAGAAACATCAATTGATTACTTCTCATACTCACCCCAACCTGGGACTGAACCCACAAGCTAGGCATGGGCCCTGACCAGGTATCAAACCTGGGACCCTTCAGTTTGCAGGACAATGTTCAAACCAATTGAGCTACACTGGCCAGGATGGCACAGTACATTTTATCTATCCCCCTTGCTAGCATGGACAGCAGGGACTATGGCATCCTTAATCCTAGGAAAGTTCTTGGCACATAGGTGCACAATAGCTCTTCACTGAGTGAGCGAATAAAGGAATGATCTAGCCCTGCTTGCCTCTTCTATGTCATCAGTCACCACTCACCCATTCCTACTCTAACCTGCTACCATACAGTGCCAATGCTGGTAATTCCCCTTCCAATACTAGAGACTTAACTTTTACCAGAAGTCAAAGCCAGGTAAAGTTCCCTCTGGGGAGCTCTCCTGGCATTCTGTTTGTTGGTTTGAAAACTTGGGAGCTTTGTAGGTGAAATTAGAAACTGGTCCCAATACAGAGACGGCACGAGGAGACTGAAGAAAAAGGCAGGACACTTTGAATTGCTAGATGGCAGATTGAATAAGTGAGAGAACTTATTACAAGGCTTATATTAGGCAGTACTAAGACAATTTTATCTCCACATCTCTGCCCATGAGAATTTTAAAGTTTATATAGAAGCCTTACCTTCGTTCAGTCATTATTCTGCCCAGATGGTCTCACAGCACATTGCCCTCTCAAGGCTGCAGCCTTGAAAACAGCTCCAGCTGTGGGAACAGTGGTCAGAGAGTACATTCCAAGGAAAGGAGCGGGGAGGGTCCTCTGATTGCACTGGTCCAGCTCCCAGGTCAACCGGCTGTCATGTCTTCTTGATGACCTCCTGCAACACTGTATTGACCCCAAGGGATAACTAAGCTCTCTTAACTAACTTCCTCTTAACCTAGTTGCCAGGGAACCTGGGCCACCCCTTCCAGTGAAGAGCTTCCCAGCTGATAGAGTGCTAGGAGCTCTACCCTAGTGTTCTGGTCACTGCCACTCCCAGCAGTTGTCAGATATCAACCCAGGGTCACTTGGAGTGGGGATTGTCCTTCAGTTGTCCTTAGTTTAGTTCCAGTTTTCAGTTTTAAAAAAGTAGACAAAAATGAAAATAAAAAGAAACTTGTTGCTAAGAAAACTAATACTGTAAGAATTTAAATGATGCTTTGCATGCTTAAAGAAGACCCAATAAGAAAATAGCTTTTTCTAAAAAAAAGTGTTTGTAACTAGATATACAATAAATATACATAGAAGATTGGGAAATATGTAGAAATGTTTAAAACTATAATTCTATGCTCAAACTATTTAGAAATTACCAAAACTGAAAAATATAGATAATAAATTATGAATGTGATTTGAGGAAAAATGATCACAGAACCCATCATCAGTCCCACACACAAAGGAAAGACTTGCCCTACATTTAAGGTAATGTGTTAATAGACATTTGTGCTTTAAATTCAAATAATATGGTTAAAGTATGTTTTATTTTTTTAGTGACTCCCCACTATAGCCTATTATTTCAATTAACTGAATTAACTGATTATTGGCATGTGGCTGGTGTGTCACCTCTCACATTCCCAAGTCTGGGCTGGGTGGTCTTCACCATGGTATCTGGAAACTAGCACTGGGTTGGCACACTGTAGGCCCCATGATAAGTATGTGTTGAATGAATGAATACAAAAATAGAGCTATAAAATCAACCTCTACATTTCTCTCTTCAAGGACTTGTTCTTTCCTAGCAGCCTTCCTTACTTAGGGAAACATGGCCCATGTACCAAACCCCCAAACTCTCTTTGGTACCTTCAAAGACGTAGATGTAAGTTTTCTTTCTTTTTTCTACCAAAGACTTACTCAATCCCAAGATTACAGAGACATATACTTACTCATTGTGTTTATGGAACCAATCATCACAAATCAAGGAGTCTGAGATAGAAGAAGCCAAAAAACCTCATCATATTGTTCATAATAAGAAGAAATTAGAAGTAGATACAGAGTGGACAAAGAGCAATGTTAAGGTGAGTGTGGAAGTGCATTGGCATTTTTACTTAGTGCAAGCTTTCTTTTTTTGGCTCAGGTGGAACACACACACCATCAGGGAGCTGTCAGAACCAATACACAATGTGAATACCAACAAGAAAAATGTGTTCAATATAGAGAGGCACATGTGAGTGTGTGGGTTATTACAGATTTACTAGGACTTTTACTCAGGTTCATTGGGACTCTTCTCCCTGAAGGGCCTGTATTTGGCAACTGGATGGGGTTGGGAGGGGAGTAAAGAAAATATATGTAATTAAAATAAGCCCTCCCTTAATAAATTTTAAATCTACATTAAAAATTAATTACATGGTTTCTTTTGAGAATTTCCAGCCAGGTAGGCATAGGTAGATACACTGCCTCCTCACACAACCAAAAGAAGGACAACAACAAATTTAAAAATAAATAACAAGAACTGCCACAAAATCAAATTGTAAGGAAATCCAACAACCAAGAAGTTAAAGAAACATTCATTCAGACTGGTAGGACGGGTGGATATGGGCAGCTGGGGCAGAGAGGATACACAGCAAGTAAGAGGCTGAAGGACCAGGGCTAGCAAGGCAGTGGCTTGCAGACCAGGCAGTCCCACATTTCCATGTTGATAAATTGGGAGGAAAAACTGGAGGGGCAAGACAGATCATGCAATGCAGTGTTCCAGTGTGGGGACATAAAGCCTCAAAACCTCTGGCTGTAAAAATCTGGCTATGGGTGTTGCAACAGCAGGAGAAACTCACAGGAGAGTTCATTGGAGAGAGCCACAGGGTCCTAGAATGTACACAAGCCCACCCATCCAGGAATCAGCATCAGAAGGACCCAGCTGGCTTGTGAGTAGTAGGAGAAGTAACTGAAAACCATCTGAGAGCCAAGCAAGGGGCATTGTTCCCTCTCTGGCCTCTCCCACAGAGAGGTTCCCTCTCTGACCTCTCCCACCACACCAAAACAAGATGGGATACCCCACCCCAGTGAATACCTAAGGCTCTTCCCCTTACAGTGCAACAGGGACAACTAAACAAGGAAATATGGCCCAAATAAAAGAACAGATCAAAACTTCAGAAAAACAACTAAGCGACCAGGACAACCTATCAGATGCAGAGTTCAAAACACTGGTAATCAGGATGCTCACAGAAAAATGTTGAGTATGGTCACAAAATAGAGGAAGAAGTGGAGGCTATGCAAAGTGAATTAAAGGAAAATATACAGGGAACCAACAGTGAAGGGAAGGAAACCAGGACTCAGATCTAACAGTTTAGAGCAAAAGAAAGAAATAAACATTCAACCAGAACAGAATGAAGAAACAAGAATTCAAAAAATGAGAAGAGGCTTAGGAACTTCCAGGACAACTTTAAACATTCCAACATCTGAATCATAGGGATGCCAGAAGGAGAAGAGGAAGAGCAAGAGCAAGATCAAGAAATTAAAAACTTATTTGAAAAAATAATGAAGGAGAACATCCCCAATCTGGCAAAGAAATAGACTTCCAGGAAGTCCAGGAAGCTCAGAGAGTCCCAAAGAAGTTGGACCCATGGAAGCACACACCAAAGCACATCATAATTACATTAGCCAAGATTAAAGATAAGGAGAGAATCTTAAAAGCAGCAAAAGGGGACAGTTACCTACAAATAAGCTCCCATAAGGCAGTCAGCTGATTTCTCAAAAGAAACCTTGCAGGCAAGAAGGGGCTAGAAAGAAAATTTAAAGTCATGAAAGGCAAAAACCTACATCCAAAATTACTCTATCCAGCAAAGCTTTCATTTAGAATGGAAGGGCAGATAAAGTGCTTCCCAGATCAGGTCAAGTTCAAGGAGTTCATCATCACCAAGCCCTTAATATATGAAATGTTAAAGGGACTTATCTAAGAAAGAGAAGATGATCAAAAATATGAACAATAAAATGACAAAAAACTCACAACTATCAACAACTGAATATAAAAAAAAACAAATTAAGAAAACCACTGAAACAGGGATGGAATCTCAGAAATGGAGATCACATGGAGGGTTATCGTGGGGAGGGGGCAGGGGAGAATAGGGGAAATGGTACAGAGAATAAGAAACATAAATGGTAAGTACAAAATAGACAGGGGGACATTAAGAATAGTATAGGAAACGGAGAAGCCAAAGAACTTATATGTACAACCCACAGACATGAACTAAGTGGGGAGGAATGCTGGTGGGAGTGGGGGTACAGGGTGGATGGAAATAAAGGGCAGAAAAAATCAGACAACTGTAACAGCACAATCAATAAAATATATTTTTAAAAAATAATTACCCCTGGCTGGTGGGCTCAATAGATTGAGCACAGGCTGCCAACCAAGCGGTTGCTTGTTTGATTCCCAGCCAGGGCGCATGCCTGGGTTGCAGGCCATGTCCCCAGTGGAGGCCACATGAGAGGCAACCACACATCGATGTTTCTCTCCCTCTCTTTCTCCCTCTCTTCCCCTGTCTCTAAAAATAAATCAATAAAAGCTTTAAAAAATAATTGCATGGTAAATGGAAAAATAAATTTTTATACATTCATACAATGGAATATTATTCAGTGCTAAAAAGAAATGAGTTATCAAACCATGGAAAGACATGGAGGAGCCTTAAATTTACATTACTAAGTTAAGGAAACCAATATGAAAGACTACATACTATATAATTTCAACTATAGAGTATGTTGATTATTGAACAAGGTGGAGAATAAGGGCAACACCAAAATCACAGTCCAAAAATCACAGTCAAAAATCAAGTATAACTTAAATCATCCCTCCATATATACAGATTCCCAACTGCAGATCAAAAATTCAGTGGACCCCTGAACAATGTGAGTTTGAATTGCACAGGTCTACTCATACACAGATAAGTGAACCTGCACAGTTCAAATCCATTGTTGAAAGATCAACTGTGTAACATTCTGGGAAGGGCAAAACTATAGAGACAGTAAAAAGATCAGTGGTTGCCAGGGGCTTGGGTGGATACAGGAATGAATAAATGGAGCCTAGAGAATTTTTAAGGCAGAAAAAATACTCTGCATGATACTCTGTACTGCAAGTGAATACATATCATTAGACATTTGTCTAAACCCATAGAATGTACAACACCAAGACTGAACCTGCATGTAAACTACAGATTTTGAGTGATAAGAATATACCAGTGTCAGTTCATTGACTGTACAATGTGCATGTGGTACAGAATGGTAAGAGTGGTGGAGACTGTGTCTGTGTGGTACAACTGGAGGTATAGGGAAACTCTGTACTTTCTGCTCAATTTTTCTGTGACCTGATCTAAAAAATAAAGCCTATTTAAAAAATCAATCACATGGTAATAGTTATGATGTATACCATGAAGTTATATGTGAAAATTAGTCTCAAAATATTAGAGTCATTCAGAGTGAGTTAACAATCAGGTCTGTAGCTCAAAAAGGAGGCATTAAAGTAGGAACTGGAAATATGTGATAGATTTTATGCCTTCTGTAAATATATTTTTGAGAATATACTATGCCAGGCCCTTGTCTAGGTGCTGGAGATACAAAGGTAAAGAAAACAAAACCCTTGTTTCCAGAAAACTTGTTTCTGTTGAGCAGTCAGCGAATATACAAAAATACTGTTCAGTGCTATGCAGGGTATTATTAGGTGCCATGGGGGGCAAGGCAGCTTAAGGAGCTCTTGAGGTATTAAGCTGAGAGAGGAGCTGCTCTAATACCCATAGGGCAATCTTGGAAGTGCCATGTGAGCCAAGGCATGCATGTGCATGAAATGACGGCGTGAGCTGTGTAGATACCTGGTGGAAAGGCATTCTAAACAGAGCTACAAGTGCAAAGGCCCTGAGGCCTCTCTCTCAAGGACAGCTGTGAGAGAGCAATAATGAATAAGTTTGGGTACCCAGATCAGGTAGAGCCTTGTGGGCCATTGTAAGACTCTGGAGTTTATCCTAAGAATGAGGAGGACCCATTGGAAAGTCTAGAGCAGGGGACAAACATCATCTGACACATGCTCTAGAAGAGTCTTTCTGGCTGCTGTACAGAGAATAGGTTTAAGGGGAAAGAATAAAGTCAGAAAGTCCAACTGGAAGCCAGGCATAAATTCAGGAGAGAGGTGATGGGCATCTCTACTAAGTGGTAGCAGTAGAGGTGGCAAAAGCAGTTTGATTTGTGATATTTTTTGAAGGGAAGAGAATCAAGAGGGCTTCCTGTTGAACTGGAAGTGAGAGAAAAAGAAGAAAAAAGAATGAATCTAAGAATTTTGGCATGAGCAACTGAATAAATGCCATGTTATCATTTATTAAATTGGAGAACACAAGGAGACTAATGGAAACTAACATTTATGTAACACCATGCAGGTTGTAAAGCACTTCCACATATAATGTAAATGTAGCTTTTCCCAACAATTCCTGCACCATAGTGTGTTATTATTATCCTCACTTTACAGTTGAAGAAAGTGAGACCCAGAAAAGCATACATGACTGTCTCGGGACACAAAGCCTGTGCTAGTCAAGGCACTGCTCATTAGCTACCAAAACATGTGATTCCCAAAGTTAAGTGCCTTAACAACCAGATTCAAGTTTCTTACTCACATCACATCTGAGTCTTGCAACTCTCTGAGTGGCTCTCCTAGAGGCTGGCTCTGAGGGATCTGGGCTCTTTCATCACAGATCCATCACCATCTTGAAGTTCTTTGTGTCTAGTTGCATACACAAGAAGTGAAGCCAAGATCAGGCTTAAATTCCATTAGCCAAAACGAGTCTCACAGCCCCACCTAGATGCAAGAGGCCTGAGAAATGTACTCCTGCTGTGTGTCCAGAAAAAAAAAATGAGAATAGTTTGCACTAAGAGGAAAAGCAATCAAACATCTTAAAGTGATGAGGATGGCCTCACTTGAGGCAAAAATGTAAGAGCTAGAAACTGACACTGTCATCTAAGGTGTGGACCCTTCTGGCCTCAAAGTAGGAATGGGAAGTTCAGTATCCCTTCATTTCTTGGGCCTGTACATAGGAGGAAAGTCAGTGGGACCAGTCAGAACTCTTACAGACAGAGGAATTAAGGGGAAGCAGGGGACTCTTCAGATTGTAACAGACAATGAATAGAGAGGGTGTTGGAAACCTAAGAGAAGGCCTGCTGTTTCCTCATCTCCCTGGCCTCACCTCCAGTCCAATAATGAAACCTTCCTTGGTTTCACTCTCCAACCAGGCTAGTGAACTCCCTGCCCTGTCCCACCTTGAAGCTGTTGCTCCTGCAGCCTCTGTCCCTCAACTAACCTTCAGTATTCTGCCTGCAGCCAAGAGGAAGTTTCTCACCAAGATTTCTAAACAGAGGATCCTTCCTAACCCACCATTCACATCAGACCACCCAAACCATCCATGAGGAGTGGGACATTTGATTGTTTTTTGTTTTTACAAATGGGCAATAAATTTTGAGTAGTCTGCTGAGTCAGGAGGAGCACTGCTTACAAGCATGTACTGGTGTTGATGCAGCATCCAACCTGGCCAGCCCAGGAGACAGCAGCTCCACAGCAGGCAGGAAGAGTTCATGGACCGACAGCAGCTCCATGGCAGCCAGGGAGAGTTCAGGGGTGGACAGATGGCAGCAGAGCAAGCTCACAGACAGCAGCTGTCTCACAGTACAGGGTCCTACCAGTGAGGCACTGTTTTTTCTCTAGTAGAACCTAGGGCCAGAGATGTTGTCCCTTCTCTCTTAGCTTTTAGATCTTAGTCTCTTACTCTGTCCCCAAGCAAATGGTAATGAAATTTAGCCTTTTAGATATGCCATTTATTATACATCATGCACACACATTATGCCATATGTGTGTGGTAAAGCTGGTGTGAACAAACCTACTGTGCTGCCAGTCCTATAAAAGCACAGCACATACAGCACAGGAATGGGTTGTACCCTCCAGGGTTGTATATGTGCACTCTGAGGTGTTCCCACAATGACCAAAAGATGCTATTTCTATGTCTGTCGTTAAGTGACACCTGACTGTAATTTCCCAGTGAGAGGAAAATATAATGACTTCACCTCTGTGTCAGAGTTTTTGCTTTGCCCATGGGGTTCTCATCATTAGGAAAATGTCATTACATAACAAGTGCATTTGACAAGCAGAAAACCTCTTGAAAAGTCTGGCTTTCAAGCAGCTTTTGAAAATAAGACTGAAAATACAAGTATCCTCTTCCATGAGCAATGTCCAGAAGCTTTCTACAGGCCATCAGGAACAAACCAACCACAGATGTTCTTACAAGGCACTTTTTTAGGTTAAAAATAAAAGAAGAGCAGTGATTTGTAAACTAAATCCATGAGGTGGCTGGGAGCTTAACAGTGAGAAGCAATATGTTTCTCCACTGACAAGCCTGCAGGTTGGGGAGAGGGCAGATTGCAGGAGTCTAGCTCTCTTCTCACTGGTAACTCTGTGTACATCACTAAGCCTCTCTTAAATAAGGACAATGATAGTGCCTATTTTGTTGGGTCACTGTGTTGTGGTACTAAAGTGTTCAGTGCAGTGCTGGGAGTGGGGACAGAGTCATTTATAGGATCTTCTCATGTCTGTAGTAGTTTTCATCCAGATGCCCAGGTTCCTGGGCATTTAAAGGCTGTGCCCACCTTGGCCGGGTAGTTCAGTTGGTTAGAATGTCATCTTGATAAGCCAAGGTTCGATCCCTGGTCAGGGTACATACAAGAATCAACCAATAAATGTATAAATAAATGGAACAACAAATCAGTGTTTGTTTCTCTCTCTCCCCCCCACCTCTCTCCCTTACTCTCTCTCTAAAAACAAAAAATCAATAAATTTAAGAAAATTAAAGGTTGTAACCTAAAGAGAAAACCACAGCAACCCCTCAAACAGCTGCATTTCTTTCTTTTCTTTTCTTAGATATGGGCATTCTGTTGCAAGCTCTCTTGAACAAAGGACTCTTTAACTGTTTAAAATAATAGTTTGAAAATCACTGGTCTGACTTCCAGTTAAAGTAATGTGAAATCCTATATGACCTAAAAAGCTGTCTCCAAACACCTAGGAAATTTAGATGAAATGTAAAAAAGCATTCCTTTAAATGCAGAGCAGCATGTGTAAGAGAGACAGTAAGGAAAATAATACCAGAAATAGAGAGATACTGAGAAAGCAGCATAATGAGCAGCATAATGAGTGAGGTGGGGGTGTATGATGGGAAAGAGAGAGGTAGGAGCAGGTGAACATTGCATCCCAATAATCCAGGGTGATCCTGGGTTCCAACAAAGGATGAGAACATGAGATAATTGGAGGACGTGTATCCTTTCAAGCACATGTGAAACAGCTACAATTGATCACACACTAAGCTACAAAATGAAAATCAGCAAACACTGAAGAGTTGATACATAGACTATGTCTCTTACCTGAATGCAGTGTAACTAGTAATAATAGTAATGGAAACAAAAGCAACTGGTATGTTGTAAATTTAAAAATACACTTGTAAATAACTTGTGTTTCAAAGAAGAAATCATATTGAAAACTTGAAAATGTTTAGAATGGAATGGAAGGTAAACATCTACACTCATGGGAAGCAGCTAAAATAGTATTTTGAGAGAAATGTTATAGCTAAATGTTTGTATTAAAAAAGGAGGAGGAGATGGAGGAAGATTAAGAAGAAGGATGAAAATCAATGAGCTCAACATTCAATTCAAGGAATTAGAAAAATAAACTATAGTAAAATAGAAAACCCACAGAAGCTAGAAGTATATAGATCATAATCATAAGAGCAGAAATTGATTACAACAGAAACCAAAGAAATAATAGAATAAACAAACCAAAACTGGTTCTCTGAAAAGACCAGTAAAATGGGCAAATCTTCAGGCAAGGCTGATCCAAAAAAAGAAGAGAGAAGATATCAGCAATATAAAGAATGAAGACAAAGACATAACTACAGAAGCAGTAGAGTTTTTTTAAACATTATATTTTAAATGTTTATAGTAATAAATTTGAAAATTTACACAAAATGTATAATTTCCCAGAAATATATAATTCACTCAGATTCAAAAAACAAAAAAAATCCTGACTATTCTCCTAAAAAAGATTTGTTTAAATCCTAACCCCCAGTGCCTTCGAATGTGACCTTACTTGGAAAATTGGTTTCTGCATATGTAATTTCTTAAGATGAGGTCATACAGGAGTAGGGTGAGACCCTAACCCAATACGACTGGTGTCCTTACAAGAAAATGGCCACCTGAAGACACAGAGACGTAGGGTGAGAAGCCCACAAGAAGATGGAGGCAGAGATTGGAAAGGTACAATACAAGTCAAGGAAAAGAAGGATCTTCAGCCATCACCAGAAGCTAGGAGAGAGGTCTGAGGAAATTTTACCTTAGAACCTCCAGAAGAAACCAACCTTGCTGACATCTTGATTTTGGACTTCTGGCTTCCACAACTATGAGATAATAAATTCCTGTATTTTCAAATTTCCCAGTTTATAGCACTTTGTTATGGAAGCCCTAGGAAACAAAGATAACCAATAACCACTAGAGTGATTGAAATGGTAGTTTAAAATCTGCATGCACACATGCACATACGTACACACGCAGAATGATCCATTTCAGCCTCCTCATCACATGGACAAGTAAACTGACACCCTGTGAGGTTTCTTGTACCAATTCTCTAGTAGGCTGGAGGTAGTGATGGGTCAGGTAGTGATGGGTGGGATGGAAATCCAGAGTAAGTGGGTAGGTCCCAAGCACTCTAGTGACAACCCCACACTTTGAATTAGGACAATCAGCCCCTGCGCACTTTTCATGGCCATATCTTTTCTTTCCAGGTACCTCAAGGTGATGTAAAAGTAATTCTCTACCCCAATGAGAGGATATTCCAAATTCTCTTTCCTGATGGATCAGGCCAGATACAGTATCCACTGGAGCACATATGGCACCTAAAAAGTCTGTGATTCAGGGCTGGGGCATGGGTTCTACTAAGGCCTGCACCCTTGGCAGGGCTGTGCTTTTTCAAGGGGATCCCAAGGGACTGCTTGTGCCTTAACCATTTCCCAGTTATCCATCAGGAAACCTGGCTATGCTTATCCTCAGTACGAAAGAGAGTGAGTTCACATATATCATTCTGGAAGACAGTGAAGAAATGTGTGTTCAGGCACTTATCAATAACTCTGGCCATGCCACCTTCTATGATGAAAACAGAGAAATCTGGTAAGCTTGAGCCATGAGTCCCAAACACTTTTCCCCATGGAGAACCAGAAGCAGTATGGTTAAGGCTTGATATTTCTCTCTCTCTCTCTCTCTCTCTCTCCCCCTACCTCCCTCTCTCCTCTCTCTCTCTCTCCATTTGTGAATTCATTCATCTGACTCATACATATTGGAATGTAGACATGGGTATCATGATAGACCAGTAAGACAGGTCCCTGACCTCAGACAAGGAGCACTGTCCTTGTCCCACCAATGCTTTCCCCATGGTGAAACAGCAAATACAGATTCAATGCAACCACTTCTATTGGTTTCACCTCCTCTACATCTCTTGAGAGTCAAACCTCACAAGAACTATCCTAGAAACAGAATAATCCTCCTCTGTCCTGGAGGCCTCAGAGAGGAGGGTGTGGTGAGCGCTCTGAAGGCACATGTATTGTATTCAAAACTATAACTTCTAAATATTTCATTTTAACTGAACTTAGTTCTTAAGTTCCCATTTGTAGTAATGCTTGAAAACTTCATCTTACCAATTTAAGGTAATTCAGCCACTTCAGAATTTTTCCCCATCTCTTTGGGGTAAGTACTCTCTCTCTCCAGGCCTCCCTGATCCCCTTGCGCTCCAGGCAGACCTATGATGGGAAGTGCATGTTATCTTGCATCAATGTATACTTTCTTTCTTACTGTCAAAGACAAACTTTTTTCTTTTTAAGTTAAAGAAGGGGAGATTTTCACTCTCCAGGTCTTGGTTTTTAAGAATATTTTATCTGCTATGGGTTTTTTGATGCCTTTTCCTACCTGACTACTTTGTTCTCAGACATGTCTGCCCTCTCCAGAGGGCCCTTTATATAAAACTGATGTCTGAAAGTTTTTGGAAACTGGTGGAAAAAGGTGCTGGATACAAGAAGGACCAAGTAGTAAGGGCAAGAAACTCAGTCAATTATCCCAAATGGCATCTGACTACATATAAGTGGGCCTCTTCTCCTTAATGACACATATTTTTAGGGCCAAAAGAGACCTTGGGGAAATCTACTTTCACTTTCTTGATGAGAAAACCGAGGCTCAGAGAAGCCAATAGGTTATTTGCCCTGAACCATACATAAAATTACTGGCAAGAAGTTTTACACATTTTTGACTCAGCCTAAAATTAAGCATTTTTTAAAAATTATCAGATAAGGTTCATAAGAGAAATCACATCTTATCCCTGAATCTCAGCCCATCAGAACCCAAGGGGGCCCTGACTGGTGTGGCTCAGTGGAGCGCCAGCCTGTGAACCAAAGGGTCACTGGTTCAGTTCTCAGTCAGGTCACATGCCTGGGTTGTGGGTGGGATCCCCAGTGGGGGGCACAACAGGCAACCACACCATTGATGTTCCTCTCCCTCTCTTTTTCCCTCCCATTCCCTCTGTCTAAAAATAAATAAATAAAATCTTTTTTAAAAACCCAAGGGGAAGGATGGTGCTTAAAATTAGAGAAAGGCTGACCCACATACACACAGTCTAGATTGATTCTGTCAGGCTGGTATGCGGCTGGAGGTCTTCACCAGGTCAGCTGGTGTGGGACCCAGGCCAGTATGCCCTCCACTGGGCCTTCAAGGCTTCAGAAAGCAGCCAAGGCCCATGAACTGGCTGCAATGGCCCACCACTGCCCCATCTGCCAGGCATGGCTTCCTGGATGACCATAAGAAAAAGACAGGGACCCTGAAGGAAATACTTCCATCTTCTCATCAAAATCAACAGGAGCCACCTCTGGTCCTCCCCTCAGGTCAGGAGTGGATGGCTATTGTGCTGACTTCTCAGACTGTTGCTGGGACTCTAGGTCAGCCCCAACCTCAAGAGAAAATGGACCCAAGGTCCTGCCCTGAGGAACAGCAGTGGCCAGTGGTTCAATCTTTCTTCCCCAAAATAGCCTTGCTTCCAGGCACTAGCCTCATAGCCATTTCAGAGTCTATGAGTCCCAAACTTCTCATCTCCCATCTCTCTCCTTGAGACCTGCTGTTTTCTTGTCTTGAAGTTTTTCTGAAACTGCTAACCACCTCACCATTTATTGGTTCTCAAGAGTGGGAGACACACTAACTGCTTTCCCTTCTAATTCTGAGCTCCTCCTCTGCTGGAGAAAATGGGAAGCTGTCAGTGAAAGCTGATCACTTGGGCTCACAGTGAGCCCATAAATCTCTACAAATGGCTGTGCAGCATCCTGCCAATGGGGCCAAGGCCCAGGAGACCCCAAGGGTCCTCCACTCTTCCTCAACATGGCATGGCCCCTCTGTCCACCCACACTGAGCCCCTGCCTTTCTCTCCTTGCTCCCTAGCTGCCTCCACAGCAGGACAGCATGCCCCGCCCCCATAGTATCACTGTCATTTTTCTAGTCCTTCCTTTTGGGCACCAGAGGAGCAGGCAGTAGAGAAAGGGCAAAGCTACCACCTCTCACTCCCCTCAGCAGGTCCAGGCCTTTCTGCACACAGCTGGTGCACCGCTCACCTCTCAGCAGCCCTTCCACACTCAGCTGTACACAGGTGCTCAACTTTTGTGTCCTGTCTCCCCCAAAAGCAACCGCATCTTATCTGGGTCATACTCTACTTTGGCTTAACCCAAAGCAAAGCAGCAGGCACTTTAGGCAGAGACCTGGATGAGAGAACTGTCCTTGTATATCCCCCACACACCCATCACCCCCAAAAGGTCATACTATAGGGCAGAATGGGCCAAGCTTTTTCCCTCCCCAGGGGCAGCAGCACCAAATTAAACTGTGATCCTAGGAAAAGGTCCCCGAAGAAATTCATCATTAGAACCACAGTCCCACTGTCATGGGGAGAACAATTTTGTGGAAAAGACCCTTCTGCTTAGTCAGGGTCCACTGACTATAATCATTGCTAGAAATTTCCACAGCTGCTCCCCAGGTTCCAGCCCCATCTCTGCACCCTCAGTGCTGATGCTGACAGAGAGATCCTCCACTGCACCCCAGGCACTGGGAAGGATTTAGAGCCATGCTGTTTTAAGAACTAAATATTTCCTGGGTCCTTTTTCATTTCTGTCTCCTCCGGGAAAGGTAAACTTTCCTTTTCTGTCTCCTCGAGGAAAGGTAGACTTTTCCGAGGAAAAGCATACTTGTAGTTTGCTGGGTGTCTACAAACTAAACCTCAGCATCACCCTTAACCTCCAGGCTTGGGACTTGAGGAATCTCAGACCAGACCTCCCACCAGGCTTCAGGGCCCATATAGCGAGGGGACCCAGACCTGCCTGAACTCAGGGTCCTTTGAAGAGGTCTTTACACCCTCTGAGAGGAACCTCCAGATTCAGATACTTCTGTGTGTTCTAGATCCCACTTTCCTGAGGAAACCTTAGCCCACAGCTGGGTGCCCCCAGGCAGGGGCAGACCTCTAACCCCAAGGAGTGGGGAAGGCCTAGTGAGAAAACTCTGATAGGAGCCATCAAAAAGGGTTAGAGTTAAAGGATCTGCTCCCCCACAGGGTAAAAGAAAACTCCCCTCTCTGCCCTCTCCATCAATGATAATAAGAGCATTATAATGTTGACAGAATTATTGCTACATATAAGCATATAATCCTCACAACAACCCTATGAGTATAGTACTATTATTATCTGCATTTGGCAGTTGAAAATTGAGGCATAACAAAGTTAAATATCTGGCTCAAGATCACACAGATTGCAAGTGGCAGATCCAGGCTTTGAACCTGGAGACTCTGTCTCCAGCACCCACATTTTTAATTCCTCACGGGCATATAGCCTCTTGTCTAAGTAAAGAGAAGTGAGCTTGGCCAGGTGAGGCCCTGATGGTGAGGGCCTTAGGACTTCTGCACTTTCCTTGATGAACAATGGGAAATGATAGGAGAAACTAAGATTGGAAGTGACTAAGAGTTCTCCTGTTGGAGGTGAACAAGGCTGCACTTAGCTGGTCTCCCTCTCTGAACTGACCTACAAGGGCCCTGGACAGCCCAGAGGAGACCTGGCAGGTAGTCTGAGTAATCCAGGCTCCCTTGAACCCTACATCCTTCTGATTAACCCAGGTCTCAGCTCTCTTTCCTCTTCATTCAGTCCTCGAGAGAAGGTGCTCCCCCAACAGCACAGATTCTAGGGACAGCCCTGGTGGGATTCAAAAGCAGAGGCCAGGGACAGAGGGATACAATGGGTTTAAAAGGCCAAGAAAGGATGGCTCATGAATGAGTAGGGCCTGGGCTGGGTCAGGGAGAAGGCCATCCACCACTCATTCATCCAGCACCTATTCATGTGGGTGCCAGGCAGCAGGAACTCACCAGGCAACCAGATGGCACATGGCCCTTGCCCTCCAGGACCACGTTTTACACTTACATTTTAGTAAGGAAAAACAGATGATAAACAAGTACAGTTGATTCTCATTGCTCAAGATAGTTCTGTACTATAAAGTTTCCATGAACACTGAATTAGTGAACACTGAATTAGTGAACACTGAACTCACTGCTCCTGGGGGAAATGTGTGTGTGTGTTTTTCACATAGAATCACAAACATGAGCAGGGGGTGAAAATTGGAGGTATCTGATGCACACACTTCCAGCTGAGGCTGAACAAGGTGACTCTGCCTCCCAGAGGGTGGAGACAGGAGGGCACTGTAGCACAGGAAACCGCAGCTCTGGGGCCAGGTAGAATCTACCAGGATGGGTTTGCTTTTAGATTTAAGATTATCTATGTGAGATATATATATATTTCTCCTAGGAACAATGGGTTTAGTATTCACTAAGCATTCAAGGCCTTTTATAGATCCTAACTACATACTTGCAAATAACGAGAATCAACTGTATGTGTTAGTAAATTATATGGAGGAAACTAACAAGGGGAAAAGATAGTGATATAGGGACCAGAGAGGCTGGTCAGGACAGGGCCTCTCTGAGTAGGTAATACTGGAGCCGAGACCTGAAGGATAATCAGGAGCCAACCATGCCACCAAGGTGGGGGGTCCGAGGAAGCAACATGGCAAAGCCCTGAGAAGGTGACAAGCACACAGGCCCCTGGACTGAAAGGAGAGAGTGGGAGGAAGGGGCCAGGCACAAGTCCCACATGGCAGGGCTGAAGAGCTGCACCTAATCTTGGGCCTCCTTCCTGGGCAGAATTTCTTCAACCTGCCAAGACCTGTGGGAGCCTGCAGCCTGTTTGTGGGCAAAGGTTGAAACAAGAAAAGGAAAGAGAGCGAGGGAGAGAGCCTGTGTTGCCACAGGAGAGGCTGTGACAGTCATCCCACAACCAAGTGCTCTGATTACCTGATGGGACTTCTTAATCTAGGTTGAACCTGAGCCAAAACCTGGGCTACTATTTTGCCAAAGGCAAACCACAGAAGGCCTGGAACTGGTGGAATCTGAACCTCCATGTCCACGCGCCCCCTCTCCAGTCTATCTCCTTAAATATCAACCAGTACATCAAGGTACAAATCAGGAGCCAAGATAAGATCATCTTCCACTTCATCCACCAAACAAAGCACATTCGCTTAAACCTGGGCACCAAGTACAAGGTAAGATCTCAGCACCCCTAACCTCTGCCCACCTGCACGCAGGCCACTGCTGCTTAGACTGGTCCAAGCCATAAGCCCCTAGGCCATGTTCTGCATGACTCCAACCCACAGAAAACAAGGCCACCTCCATTAACCTGCTGCTTAATGTACACAGAGACATTCATTTCACTTCCCAACACCGTGACATTTTGCTCTGAGGAAACTGACAGCCTCAAATTGCTTAGCTATAAGCCAGATCCCAGTCACCCCCCAAAAAGGTAACGTGTTATCTTGCCTGACACTCACTACAACTGTGTCAAATGGCAGGGCCAGAAACAAAGGGGAAATCTGTGTCCCCAACCCTGCTGTTGGTGTCCTCTTCTCTCCTCCCCAAACTTGCTCATCTCAAAACAAATGACCACCTGGAAGTTCAAGGTCCTTTGCCTAGGCCAGACAAGACATCACAAAAGACTGTTAGTTTCCTTGGGCTGCTGTAACAAATTATCACAAACTATGGGGTTAAAACAACAGAAATTTATTCTCTCACAGTTCTTGAGGCTAGAAGTTTAAAATCAAAGTGTCAACAAGACCACATTCCTCAAGGCTCTCAGGGAGAGTCCTTCCTTGTCTCTCCAGCTTCTGGTGGCTCTAGGCATTCCTCAGCCAGCAGAAGCCTCACTCCAACCTCTGCCTCTGTCTTCACATGGCCTTCTCCTCTGAGACTCTGTGTATCAAATCTCCCTCTCCTTTCTCTTATAAGGACACCAGACACTGATTGGGTGTAGGGCCTACCCTAAGTCCTTATACAAGATTCTTAATTACATCTGCATAAAGTCTATTTCCAAATATGGTTACATTCACAGGTTACTGGGGATTAGGACTTGGACATGTCTTTTGGGGGCCACAATTCAACCCACTACAAATGGTGACCCCAGGCCGTAGAATGCTCACTGTTGAGAGGGCAGAAGATAGGCTACTGAGACCCTTCCTGAGGACTAGACTCAAGGAGAGGAATAAGGCAAACCCCAGAAGGGCCAGAACTGCTGGGACCTGAACCTCTGTGTCCACACACCCCTAGTCCAGTCTATCTCCTTAGCCACCCATTGAGATCCACTAAGACCCTGTCCCTGGGCCAGCTCCCCTCCCCTATTCCACAGAAGGTTGTTTACAGACCCACCAGAGAGGCACTTAAGGCCCCCAAAGGTAGGGCTGCCTGGGAGACGGACAAAGGGACATGACTCTCAGGAAGAGAGCCAGACAGAGAAGTGGGTTGAAGGAGGAAAGAGGCAAATTGCAGACCCAAGCAAAATTAAGCTCTATGAATATTATTTGAAATGAGAAGAGGGAATATGGTAGGCATAGGGTGATCAGCCAACCCAGTTTTCCCAGGACTGAGAGGTTTTCCAAGACATGAGACTGTGAAAGCTAAAATTGAGACAGTTCCAAGCAGATCCAAACCTTGGTCACCCTAGGTTCCCTCGCCTGGGAAGGCCTACTATTTTACAAGCTAAATAATGAAGTCTCAACCTTCTTACCTTCCCTGGGTTTCCCAGAGCAGCCAATCCAGGAAAGAGATGACGAATACTCATAATCTACACCAAGTCTTCTATTTGCCGCTGCACAGAGGTGACTAGCTAAGAGGGGGGCAGCTGGAGTGGAGTCAGCATGATGACCTGGGCCACTGGCCTTCAAAAAACAGTGGGATTCCACTGAAGGAGCAGGGGCAGCAAAGGAAATTGATGCCCAAAAGGGGGATGAATAACTGACGTGGTCAGTCTGGTGCCAGTGGAGGGTGGGCCCCAAATGAAAAAAATGTGACTCATCAGCAGGGGCCACCCAGGCCTGGCAGCAGGGTGCCCTGAGAACATGTCAGCCCCTCATCTTCCTGTGTGATACCAGGCAGGCCTCTTGCCCTTTCTGAGCCTGTTGCCATTTATAAAATGAAAACATTGTTGCAAGGCTTTAATAAGAGATGCTTTATGTGAAAGCATTTTTTAAACTGGCTACTTCATAGAAATAGAACATATTGATATGATCCTTTATTATTCCCCCCAACTCCAGGACACCTTTTGCTCACCTTCTGTAGCTACAAACTAAGGCAGAGCTAGAGTAGAGGTGGCCTCACTGGGTGCTGCCTCATCTCAGCACAACCCAGATACACTCTAAGGGAGCCCAAGTGGAAGTAGGGCTCACCTGCTGACGCTTCAGACAATCTCCTGGCTCTGGCAGCGCCTGTGTGATAGGGAATCCATGTGGAGAAGCCAAATGCCCCCAGGAGGGCACAATCTTTGGAAGGCAGGTCACAGCAGGGCTCAGGAGCTGGTACCCTTTGGCCTGGGTTCAGGCTGGGGTATGCCCACTAGAACAGGTTCAGTGAGTGTGCTTGGGAAGCAGCAGAAAGGTTGCTGGAGGCAGGGCTGGGAGCACAGATTTGCCCTAAAGAGGGAAGTTTCCGGATAAGACTCAATTCCAGCCAGGGGGCCCTAATCCTGGGGTGGGGGGAGCACGGTGCTGGTGCATACATCCTCACCTAGCCTTCCATGAATTCCCGCAGTTCATACTCCCAGAGATGCTGAGTGAAATGAAGACGAAAGCAATCCTGGAGGTGGAATTCAGTTCAACGGCTCGAAAAATCCAGATCCTTCTGGGGAAAATGAGCAGGATCTTGAATTTCCTGACCATCTGTGATTTGGAAAACTTCTTAGAAGGCACCAAGATCTTGCCAATTGATGAAGTCCCAACCTTCTTACCTGCCCTGGATCTGCTGGACAACATGGGTCTGAGGGGAACATCTTCCCTCCCAGACTAAGGCAGTCGCCACACTGTCCCAGGGCTCCTCCAGCACCAGCTGAGTGTCGCTGGGAGATGAAGGCATCAGGAGTGCCAAGGAAGACCCAAAGTCTCATTTATGTCTTTTGAGAGTTGTTTTATAATTTGGGGCCTGTCATACATAGCAACCTGGTTTGAAAAAGAAAAGTCTTTTGAGGTTCTGACAGAATCTGCGGCTGGGGACAGAAAGACTTAATATTCAGCCCTGACCTGACAGCATTAGAAGCAAAATATTTCAGTAGGCAATATATGTCCACACCTGTCCTGCTCGCTCCTACCAGTCACTGAAATGCAGAAGTTCTTTTTGTGACCTTCCTGTACTTGGGATGACTTAGGACATAGACTGTTTCAAAGTCTAGCTCTGTTGAGTGTTTGCTGTGTGAACCTTGGGCAAGTAGCTTTATGCCTCAGTTTCCTTATCTGTAAAATAGGTCTAGAAATAGTAGCTCTCACTAACCCTGACCTCATCACAACCCGTTCCTCTCCCCACAATCAGGGAAAAGGGAAACCTAGACAGCAAACCAACACCAGCCTGCAGCAGGTCACCCAAAGCAGGAGGCAACTGAAGCCCAAAAGGACCCAGAGTAACCCCCCTCCAAGAGCTGGAACCATTTTAGTCACTGGTAATAGTCACCGACTCAAGTAGGTGAAACAAAATGGGAACTGTGTAATCTGGATGTAAGATACAATGGGTCTCAGAAAGGACTGGAGCATGGAAGGGCCTCCAGAAGCCAGGAGACTTTCATTCTCATCTCTGTGACACTCTCATCTTGTCCTGGAGACATGTTTTCTACACACCTCATTTCACATGACTTTGTCTCCTAATCTCTCTCAAAACACCTCAGTGGTCTCTGATTGGCCTCGCTGATTAGATACAATGCAGGGTGGTAAGGGAGGGTAGGGTTATGTCTTGTAAACATAGCTCCTAGTTGGTGCCTGAGCATAGGGAGGGGGTGGTGGTTTCTAGAATAGGGGAGCTCAGGAGCTGGGCAGTGTGTCTTTTCAATCCCTTGGACACACCAAATTTCCCAGGGTGATCTCAACCACAGCCTAAAACGAGACAGGAAACCCCTTCTCGCAATTAGCCCTTCTCTGCTGTGAACAGTAACGCCCAAGCCCACCTTCCTGGCCCTGATCTCCTGCTGACCTCAAACTGCCTGCCTCCCATGCTTTGACATCATCCCAAGCCATAAGACTGAGCAGCTGAGGTGGGACTAGGGCAGTAAGGCCCAGCAGAGTGTTACACAGTCACTTCCACTATCTGAGTCTCACACCTTGTTGATGAGTAGTATCATCAGCTAAAAGTGCAGATTAGAATTGATAAACAGCCCAAATTAGTTCATTTTCATTTCTAGGAGAAGCACCTTTTCTTGCCAAGTCACTGAAGATAAATGGGATAAATGGCCACTGGAGAAGTGTACCTGTACAGGTTGACCTCAGCATTACAGTGTCTTGTTCACTCTGCACCTCTGCTCAGTATGCACAGAAGCCTCTTCCCTTACTAGGCACTAGAGAAAAGGCTCCCGAGTCACACTTGGCAACAAAACAAATCTTTCCACACTAGCAGCCTTGTCTTGGAACCAGGCCAGATGCTTCTCCCAGCACTGAAGGCCATGGGGCTGAAAGCGTGTGTGCCCTGGAATCAGACAGCGCTGGGTTAGTCTTGGCACTACTGTTTGCTAGCTGTGGCAAGGTAGTGAGCCCCTCTATGACTCAGTTTCCTCGCCTGTAACAGGATGCATTATGGTGAAGGTTAAAGGAGCTGGTGTTGGTCAAGCCCGCAGCATGGTGCTGAATGGGTGTGCACTCTTAATATTATCAGCCAGTGCCTCTCCTTGGTCTTCCTCCTTTCACAAAACCTGAAAACCTGATTCCATTAATGCAGAGGTTGTACACAGGTAGCTTTGCAGAGGCATTTTGTTTGGTCAGCCTCGTTTTAAAATGTTTTGTTGCCAACATTTAATAGATGGAAGAATTCCAACTTCTCTTTAACTGCTGCTCTCAAAGCCTGGACAGAATAACATGGACTCAGAGACTATTTTCATAAGGAAGAGTGAACTACCTCACAGGCTATGAAGGAAATGATTCAAGTAGCCAACCAGATGGTCAGGACCTATACCAATCCAGGTCCCACCTCTGTATCAGTTTGTTTGGGCTGCTGTCACAAACGACCACACACTGAGCAGCTTAAACAAGAGAAACTTACAGTCTGGAAGCTAGAAGTCCAAAATCAAGGGCTTCCCTCTAAGGTACCAGGGACAGCCCCTGTCCCAGCTTCTAGTGGTTCCTTGGCTTCCAGGCTTCACATGAAATTCTCTGTGTGTGAATGTCTGTGTCCAATTTTCACTAGTCATATGGATGAGAGTCATAATGGATCAGGGCCCACCCTACCCCAGTATGGCCTTGTCTTCACTAGTAATTCCATCTGCAACAACCCTAATCCAAATAAGGTCACAATCTGTGGTACTGGGGATCTGCGCTCAGGGGGATTACAGACTGGGGCTGAGACACAAGCCAACAGCAAAACAATGAAAGTGTTGGTTTGTGAAGGAACACAGTAGAAGGAGAAGAGTCCCCTGGGGGAGACGAGAGGGGTCACAGAGAGCCTCTCTGAGAGGGTACCCTTTGAGCCAGAGCTGAAGAATAAAATGGAGACGGGGTGGGGCATTCTGGGAGTCAGAAGGAAAGGCAAGAGTCTGTGCAGAACAGAGAGAGTGAGCACCTAGGACAGACATAAAAATGATGGCCTTTGGAGGTACGTAGGAGAGTATCTTTTTCTAGCTGCACAACCCCCAGCCCCCTTCCTTTATGGAGGAAATCATCTTTGTGAGTATTTACTAGTGGGCAGCAGTGCCCTACTTGCCACGACAGACACTAAAAGACATCACTAAAAACTTCGTATCAGTCAAGGTATCCTATCAGTCAAGTAAAGATATTTCAAAATTCCAAACAAGGACATTGAAAACAAGGGCCTTGACTCAGACAACAGCATTGGAAACACAGAAGGGGAAGAAATAAAGAACTATGTAGGACAGGAAATAGGTAGGACTAGATAGCACTAGGACAGGGTAGGGAAGGCTACATGACTTGGGCAACAGAGTGGATTCTTTCATTCATTCAGCAAATGGTAAGTACCTACTACAGGCACTGTTCCAGGCTCTAAGTATTCGGCAACAAACAAAACGAAGGTCCCCTCCGTGCAGTTTAGTCTGGGCTGGAGGAAGACAACAAAAACATATAAGCAAAATATTTCATGTGTCATATGAAGACAAGTAAGCCACATGAGGGCAATAAAAATTGCTAGGGATTAGGGGTCCCTAAAGTATATATACAGCAGGTTTTGTACTAGAAAATTATTTGTTGTGGGAGACTGTCCTGTGCACTGTAAGATATTTAGCAGTTCTGGTTGACTTCTAGGAGCCAGTAATACCCCCACATAGACTAGTCATAACAACCAAAAATATCTTCAGACGTTGCCTTGTCCCATCGTGGGGGGCAAGGGAAGGTCATTCCTTGCTGAGAACTACTGCTGTTAGGTCAGGTTTGGGTTTGTTTTATGTCCCAGTATATGTCTACCTTGAAAAATGTTTCATGTACTTGCAAAGAATATATTCTGCTATTGTTAGGTATTCTGAATTTAATGAGGAAACTCAAGCACATCCAGACTGTGGTTTATTCTATAACAAGGTTACACTTAAATAAAATGCAATGCCACGAAAAAAAGCAAACAAAACCTTAAGAGCTGTCAAAATTAAAGGGGCTAAAGAGCCCTGGCCAGTGTGGTTCAGTTGGTTGGAGCGTTGTCCAGTAAACCAAAAGGCTGTAGGTTTGATTCCCCATCAGTGCAATCAAACTTATGCTTTCTACTTAGCTGTTTCCATAAAGTCAGGGAGTGTCCGAGAGGCAACCAATCGATGTTTCTCTCTCACATCGATGTTTCTCTCCATCTCTCCTCCCTTCCTGTTTCTAAAACATCAATAAGCATGTCCTCACTTGATGAAAAGAGAGGAGAGGAAGGCAAAGCAAGGCAGACCTAGTTAAAATCTGCATTTAAAAAAAAAAAATAAAAGGGGCTAAAAAGACACAACCACCAGGTAAAATGTCTAAGCTTTGATAGAAGCTATGATACATTTTGGGGGTAATTGAAGAATCTAAAATATTAACTACATATTAGATATTACTGAAATTTTTATGTATGAGCGTTGTATTAAAGTTATGTAGGAGAATGTCCTTAGTGTTTGTATATGTAAAAGTATTTCAGGATAAAATGTCACGATGTCTTCAACTTACTTTCAAATCATTTATGTATGTACATACACTGATATTAAAACCCACTTGATTAAAAATGTGTGAAAGAGTCTGATTTTGTAAGAAAAATTATTTTAGAATATACACAGAAAAATGCAGAAGGTATATGCCAAACATTTAATAGTAGTTTACCTTTCTGGGTTCATTTATGAAAGACTTTCACATTTTATGTTAAAATTCAAATACTACAGAAATGTCTAAGAGTTAACATTTTTTATAATCAGAAAAAAATTTTAAAACCTTTTACTTCTAAAAGAAAAAATATATATTCATCAGATCACTATTTACTGGGTGCCACTATTCTCAAGTTTACAGCAGCTGCTGGGCTGGGTGCTGAGAAGGGTCAGACAGACAAGCTAATTAGAAGAGTGCTCCAGAAAGGAAGCAATGAAGTTAGCTCCTCCTTTTGAGTAATGTTCTCTTATCAACATCCCTGGGTTCCTTTAATGAACAGCCCCTTTTGACAAACTAAGGCTGGCTATTCTTTCCCACTGGCAAGGTTATAGCAGAGGAAGACTGAAAGATATGGAGTTGTTAAAACAGGGAGAGAAAAATATAAATTTGTTTTTATTGCTACTTCACTAACACTAAATTTCAACACAACTATTTGTGCTGACAGTACTCAGGAAATTGGCAGTTTAGTAAACAAACAAAAAAATTAAATTCTTTCAACTAGTGGGGCATTAAGATACCTCAGAAGTGTCTTTCCACAGTAATTATCTTGCTAAAAGAATCCACAGTGCAAGTAAAACTGGAGCAATCTGAGTAAGATTGGTAGAGTGCACCAATGTCAATATCCTGATTATCAAAATGTGATACAGTCTGCAAGATGTTACCACTGGAAGAAACTAAAGGAAGGTATAAAGGATCTCTCTGTATTCTTTCTTACAACTGCATATAAATCTACAAGTTGGAACAATAAAAATCTCATTTAAATTTTTTTAAAAAAGAATCCACACACATAACAGACATATGAAGACAAAGTAGGAAGCAAAAATCTTTATTTTTAAAAAAATTCACATTTTTAAAAACAGCAATTTCTAGCCAAATAATATAAAGGCTCTTAAATTATTTAAAAGTATGTACACTCTTTACATGAGTAAACACTTGAAACTGTACAGATTTAAACAAATATTAATTTAGCAAATAAGTTGGACCACTATCACCTACTCAGCATTTTGTAAGGTATTTGCGTGTTTCAGAAATAAAAGATTCAACACAAGACCAAGTGCTGTCAAACACTTCTCCTTAAGAACACACTCTGCTCTGTACACCAAATTAAATCAATCATACTATAGTACAATAATCATGCCCTCATTTCTTTGGAAAGGCTTTTTAAAAATCAAATATACAATATAATACACAAAAATGGGTATTTTACAGTTTATTTCATTAAACTTGTATTTTAAATACTAGGTGGAAGTAAATCCAATCTTTTTATTTCATTTGTTTCATGTCAATGAATGAATATAAACCCTCTTTACCTTCTACCTTCCCAAAATAGAGTATTAAGCTCTATTAAACAACATCCAACACCAATTTAAAGTGAGCTGAAAGCAAGTGACCTGTTTAAAATGACAGACATGTAACCTATCTACACACTCAGGGTCTGGTTTAAGGGGATGAGAAAAGCTGCAAGTCACCTAGAATGAGGTCTGCTGGCTACATTCCAGAACACTCACCAATGTTCCATCTCTAGGTTAGTGTTGGAATAACTCAAAATTCCTTTTGAACCAAAAACCAAGCTACATTTTCTATGACGTCAATGGCAAAACCAACCCCATAAGGAAATAGCTATTTGTAGGACAACTCACAGAAGTGAATAATTTATTTGGTGATCCCTGATATAGTGTGGCAGGTTTTAGGGGTGGGCCATCTTCACCCTCCTTGTCTTTGTTAGTAAAACTTACTCACTGTAGCAGGCACACAGCATAGCCATTGAATATACAGGACTTGAAAGTGTTTGCTCTTCAAAGAACTACTAAAACTGAAGGCAGTGTACAGAAGGCTGGCAACCCTGACCTTCACACAGGAGATACATTAGTCATCAGGTTTCCTTCTCTCCTTTATGTACCAGATTAACACTGGTACTTAACTGGTACTTCTCAATTACAAATGCCAACTGCAGCACCATGAAGATTCTTACTAAAGACACCACCTGTGAAGAGAATGTAGCTTCCTGTTCTTGAACATTCTATACCTAAGCAATCCAAGGAATACAGATACTGTATCTGTATATCTGGGAATACAGTATCTGTATTCCTTGGGAACCTTACATGAGGTCCTTGCATCTTGGAACTAACTCACATCGAGAACACAGGAAAAAGGGGTTGGGGGAAGTAGAAGAAGGCAAAAGGGGAATAAATGGTGACAAAAAGGGACCTGACTTTGGGTGGTGAGAACACAATGCAGTGTATAGATATATTATAGAATTGTATACTTGAAACCTGTTATTAACCAATGTCACCCCAATATATTCAAACAATAATAAAAAAAATTTTAAAGACACAGGAAGATAACACCCTGAATTCCCAGGAAACCAGAATGTGTTCTCAGAAGCATCCAATCTACTCCAAACTAAACTTCAAAGTGATAGGAGAAACATTACATTGAGTGTAGAAATAACATTTCTGGAAGTAAAAAGTCACTGTGGAATGCTTGCTCAGTGGTTAGAAGTGTTGCAGTGTTGTATACTTTAACAAACCTTACTCGAGAAGCTTTCTAATTAACTGTGTTTCCATAAAAATTCTTCTCTGCTCTACCTACTGCAACTTATTTTCATTGCACATCTTTTGCTAAGAACCATCTCGCTGCATGCTCACCTAAGTTACCTCTTAAAAACGTACATTTCTTGAAACCATTTAATGATGCAGTTATTGCTGCTCATACATTAATCTTTGGCATTTTGATGTTTTAAAATCGAAACACCAATTTTTAAACACTCTCCTTATATTTCATTCTGCAGTCAGCAATGAGTAGCACACTTGTGTGGTTCTCAGGGACATTCCTACGCACAATTCCTCAAGTGTCCTGCAGGTCTCATGACCTTTCAGCCACTCCTGCCAGACAATTTTCAAGCACTGCCCGACTGGCCTGGCCTGGTTATTTACAAGCTGACAGCAGGAGGTTCACCTGAAAAGCAACGTGAAAAGCTACGTTAGTTCTGCTGTGGAATACCATAAGAAAAGTTGTTTATCTTCAAACATAAAATAAGAGGAAAAGACTTAGATTTTTAAGAGACCAGGAAACATGGCATAAACTGGACCCACAGTGCTGATCTGATTTCCAAAGCTGCCACTGGGCACTGAGTTTCATGGAGGCCTGTGAAAGTTAGTTACTACACTCCATTATGTAATCTAGATCCTCAAGTCATCTGGAATCCAATGAAGATAACAGAAAAAAACTATATACCAACACAGATAAGGGACAGAAATACATCTAAATGATCAATTTCACCTTTTTCTATGCAGTGTGTTTTGAGAAAAGTTGTAAGTCAGTCAAATTTTTCAATGACTCTTAAAAGCATAAGAACAGGCATGACAAGTGAATTTCAGCTCACACGCTCTTACTGAACCCAGGACCACCCTGCCCACTCTATAGAGAAGTTGTGACACAGAGCTGGCCAGAAAACCAGAGCAACCCACCATGGTGACAAGGGTGGGGAAAATGTCAGTCTGCACACCACAAATTGTCACCCAGGCCTTAGCAAGATTTGCAGTTAAATAAAAATGACAGTTAGCCCTTCTATAAAGTACAAACCATTTTGATAACAAAAATAACCACCTCATAACCTCTTTTATCAATTTATACTTCCAGTGAGAGGGACACAAAATCACCTTTGTTTTTCCTGGCCAAAACACAAAACCTAGATCTAGTGATGAGAAAAAAGACAACTCCAAACTGAGGACATTCTACAAAATAACTGGCCTGTCAAGGTAAAGAAAGCCCAAAAAAGGCTGTAGAGATGCTCCCAGAGTAAAAGGAACTACAGAGATGTGACACTTTAGCAAGCTCCAGGACTGGATCCTGGCCTGGGGAAACGTATCGACCTGTAAAGGACGCTACTGGGAAAATTGAGGAAATTTCAATATAGACTGTCGATCAGATAACAGTGACAATGTTACACTTTCTGTTTAGACAATTGTGCTGGAGTAGATTAAGAGAATTCCTTGTTCTCAGGAAGTACACTGAAATATTTCTAAGGAGTGGGGCACAAGTGTCTCCCAACTTCCTTTCAAATAACTTAAAAGAAGGGCAGGGAGGGAGAGGAAAGGGAGAAAGGAACAACGATAAAACAAATGGTGCAAACAACTGGGTCCAGTACCTTATTACCATGCCTGCATTTTTCTCTAAGTTTGAAATTGTAACAAAATTAAGTTACAAAAATATCTGTTCAGATGATCCTTATGATGGGGTTATGTCCTGATAAACCCACTGGAAGTTGAAAATACTGTAAGTCAAAATGCACTTGATACACCTAATCTACCAAACATCACAGCTAGCCTAATTTACCTTAAACATGTTCAGAACACATTACCTTACAGTGGGAAAATCATCTAATACAATGAACACAGAATAGAGTATCGGTTTTTTCCCCTTGTGATCTGGGACCTGTCGCTCACCACCCTGACCAGCATCATGAGAGAGTACTGTACCACGTATCTCTAGCCCAGGAAAAGAGTGCAATACAAAATTCCAAGTATAGGGTCCTGGTCAAGATGGCGGTGTCGGTAAACATAGCTCGCCTCCTCACACCACATCAAAATTAAAACTATAGAACAACCATCAGAAATTGAGCTGAATGAAGTCCTACAACTATGAAATTAAGGAAGAAACCATATCAAGACCAACAGGAGGGGCAGAGACACAGCACAGGCTGGTCCCACAACCACATATGGGGGATAAAAATCAAGAGGGATATCTCAGGGAGTCCCAGCCCCACACCAGGTCCCCTGGCCCAGGGATTCAATGCCAGGAATATAAGTCTTCATAACACCAGCTGTAAAAACCAGTGAGGACTGAGGCTGTGGAAGACCAACTTTTAGAGTCCCAAGTAATCCTCTTAAAGGACCCATGCATAGACTCACTCCAATTCACTCCCTCTACGCTACTGTGCAGGGGCAGCAGCTTGTAAGGCACCAAAGACATATGTGGAGGAAGTCAACTTTCTGGCATCAGGGGGAGAACTGAGAAGCAGCTTTCTCTCAGACAGAAGTGCTGTCAGAGACCACTGTTCCTTTTCTGAGCCCTCCCCACAATAAAGCCACAAAGCCAGCAGGGTATGTGAGACTCCATCAGCCTGGCTTACACTGTTTGCCCCACGCTGGTGATTCCGGAGACTTTGCCCCACCCAATTTTCATACACCACCCAAGCTGTTCCCAGTGGCTTTTCCATACAAATGGTTTCTCTTGGCTCATGCTTCAGATTTTACTAAATTCTCTCAAACAAGCAGCATCTAACTTCAGCAAATCTTGCACCTCTAAGTTACCCCAGGCCTCACACTAGCAGCAACCAGCCTTGGTTCACAGCATGGCCTCACCTGGACACCTCCAAGCCCAGCACAAGAAGCAGTCACTCACAGATCACTTTGTAGATTGTGCTATGTAACACTGGACAAAATATAGGTCATGGCTGACCTTGGACATGCCAACAACAATCAAGACTCAACTACAAGAGAAAGGTGAACACATCCCACAGTGAGCACACCATGAGCACCCAGTTTGGGTGATATGGGAGACTGTGCCACTACATGACACCTACTATTAGGCCATGCTACCAAAACAGGGAGTCATAGCAGCTCTACCTAATAAATAGAAACAAACACAGTGAGGCTGCCAAAATGAGGAGACAAAGAAACATGGCCCGAAAGAAAGAACAGATCAAAACTCCAGAAAAATAACTAAACAAAAGGGAGATAAACAATCAATCTATCAGATACACAGTTGAAAACTATGGTTATAAGGATGCTCAAGGAACTTAGTGAGCACCTCAACAGTGTAAAGGAGATCCAGTCAGAAATAAAGGATACATTAATTGAAATATAGAACAATTTACAAGGAATCAATAGTAGAAGTGTTGAAGCCAATAATCAAATCAGTGATTTGGAATATAGGGAAGCAAAACACAACCAGTCAGAACAGCTAGAGAAACAATAATACAAGAAAAAAAAATGAGGCTATTGTAAGGAGCCTGTGAGACAACTTCAAGCATATCAACATTCACATCATGGAGGTGCTGGAAAAAAAGAAAGGAAGAAATTGGAAATCTATTTGAAAAAATGATGACAGAACATCCCTAACTGGGTGAAGGAAATAGACATACAAGTCCAGGAAGCACAGAGATGCCCAAACAAGACGGATCCAAAGAGGCCCAAACCGAGATACATCATAATTAAAATGCCAAAGGTTAAAGACAAAGAGAGAATCTTCTAAGCAGGAAGAAAAAAGTGGTAAGCTACCTACAAGGGAGCTCCCATAAGACCATCAGCTGACTTCTCAAAAGAAACTTTGCAGGCTAGAAGGGACTGGCAAGAAATATTCAAAGTGATGTAAAGCAGGGACTTACAAACCAAGAGTATTCCACCCAGCAAAGCTATCATTTAAAACTGAATGACAGATAAGAGCTTCCCAAGCAAGAAAAAGCTAAAGGAGTTCATCACCACCAAAACAGTGTATGAAATGTTAAAGGGTCTTCTTTAAGAAGATCAAAACTATAAACAATAAAATGACAATGCATATCTATTGAGTGTTGATAAACAAACAAGCAGAACAGTAATAGAATCATAGATACAGACAAAGTTTTGATGGTTGCCAAATGGGAAGGGGATCGGGAGGTTGGGTGAAAAAGGTGAAGGGATTAAGAGTACAAATTGGTTACAAAATAGTCACAGAGATGTAAGTACAGCATAAAGAATAGAGTAGCCACAGAACATACCGTATTTTGCTGTGTATAATGAGTACCCACGTTTTTGGCCCAAACTTTCAAGAATATTTCATTTTAATTTTTTAATTATTTACTTTCAGAAACAAAACTGATTAACATATTCCAGGGTAATATCTTGTATATGGATATAATTAATTGCTTTTTAGAGTTATACTTTTAACACATAAGCATAAATAAAAAAATTAACAACATGTATATAGATACAGTGTTAGTACTACCCATGTATAATGTGTATCCTTATTTTTCCCTCAAAAATTTGGGCAACAAAGTGTGTATTATATGTGGCAAAATATGGTATATGCAGGACCAAGGGACATGGACAAGAGTGTGGGGATTGACTGAGGGAGTTTGTGGGAGGCTGGGTGGAGGGGAGAAATGAAACACTTAAGGGGGGAAAATGAAACACTTGTAACAGCATAACAATAAAATATAATTTTTAAAAATTCCAACTATAGTTTCTACTGAATGCGTATCACTTTCACACTACCATAAAGCCAAACCTTTATAAGTCAGGACTCATCTATACTGCCATATATTGGATCTTAAGAAAATGGTTAATTGAAAGGAAACTTGACTTGGTATGGTAAACACACAATACAATATACAGTTGATGTATTATAGAGCTGCATACCCAAAACTTATATAATTTCATTACCCAATGTTACCCCAATAAATTCAATATTTAAAAAAGAAAATGAGTCACAAACACTCCATTTCCAGGAAAATTTAAAATGGAGGAGAAATCCATGAAGTGGAAATACAAGGTTCTGGTTCCTACTAAATAGCTGTTGGCAAAGTAACTTAACTCTCAAGGCCACAGTAAGGCCAAAGTTTCTTCGTCAGTAAAATGGCACAAATATAGAAGGGGCAAGTGAAGACTGAGTGAGATAAGCCCTGGCTGGTGTGGCTCAGTGGCCCGAGTGCCAGCTCACGAATCAAAAGGTCGCTGGTCCAAATCCCAGTCAGGGCACATGCCTGGGTTGCCCTCCAGGTCCCCAGGAGGAGGCGCACGAGAGGCAACCGCACATTGATGTTTCTCTCCCTGTCTTTCTCCCTACCTTCCCCTCTCTCTAAAAATAAATAAAGTAAAATCTTAAAAAAAAGATTGAGTGAGATGATACATTTCAAATGCTTAGAAGAGTACTTGGCAGCAGTGAATAATACCAGCTATTACTATTATTTAGAAAATATAACAGTTCTAAAAGATGATCAAAGCACAGAGAGAATTATGTTGTCTGTTAGTGTTTTTCTTATTTTTATTATATTTTATTGATTATACTATTACAGTTGTGCCAATTTTTTCCCCTCTTCCCCCTCTACCCAGTACCCCCTCCTCTCAGGCAATCCACACAACATTTTTCATGCCCATGGGCCATGTGTATAAATTCCTTGGCTACTCTATTTCCTACACTGTACTTACATCCTCATGGCTATTCTGTAACTACATATTAGTACTTTTTAATCCTCTCACCTCTTCACCCATTCCACCATTCACCCATTAAAAACACTCTCCATGATTATGTCTCTGTTCTTGTTTGCTTAGGTTTTTACATTCAGTTGTTGATAAATATGTAGTTATTGTCATTTTATTGTTCATAGTTTTGATCTTTTTCTTAAATAAGTCCCTTTAACATTTCATATAATGGTTTCATGATGATGAACTCCTTTAGTTTTTACTTGTCTGAGAAGTTCTTTATTGCCCTTTGATTCTAAGTGATACCTTTGCTGGGTAGAGCAATCTTGGATATAGGTCTCTGCTTTTCATGATTTTGAATATTTCTTGCAAGTCCTTCCTTCTAGCTTGCAAAGTTTCCTTTGAGAAGTCAGCTGACAGTCTTATGGGAACTCATCTATAGGTAACTAACTGCTTTTTTCTTGCTGCTTTTAAGATTCTCTCTTTATCTTTAACCTTTGCCATTTTAAGTATGATGTGTCTGGAGTGGGCCCCTCTGCATCTATCTTGTTTGGGACTCTGTGCCTCCTGGACTTGCATGACTATTTCCTTCACCAAATTAGGGAAGTTTTCTTTCATTGTTTTTTCTAATAGTTTTCCAATGTCTTGCTCTTTCTCTTCTCCTTCTGGCACACCTATGATGTGAATGCTGGTATGCTTAAAGTTGTCCCAGAAACTGCCAACACTACCCTGTTGGGTTTTCTTTTTTTCTGGATTCTTTTTTTCTCTTGTGGTTCTGAATGGTTGTTTTTTGCTTCCTCATGTTCTAATTCATTGATTTCATTCTTGGCTTTATCCACTCTACTGTTAATCTCCTACAAATTGATCTTTATTTCAATTAATGTATCCTTCATTTCTGACTGGATCTTTTTTACACTACTGAGGTTTCTGCTAAGTTCCCTGAGCATCCTTATAACCAGTGCTTTCAACTCTGTATCTGACAGGCTGCTCATCTCCGTTTTGTTTAGTTATTTTCTGGACTTTTGATCTATTCTTTCATTTGGGCCATTTTTTTCTTTTAAATATATTTTATTGATTATGCTATTATAGTTGTCCTATTCCCTTCCCCACCCCCATTTATTCCCATCTGCCCTGCACCCCCCTCCCACCCACTTAGTTCAGGTCCATAAATCATACATGTAAGTTCTTTGACTTCTACATTTTCTATACTATTCTTAACCTCCCCCTGTCTATTTTGTACCTACAATTATGCTTCTTATTCCCTGTGGGCCATGTTTCTTGTCTCTTCATTTTGGCAGTCTCCCTTTGTTTGTTTCTATGCACTAGGTAGAGCTGCTATGACTCCTGTCCTGGTAGTGTGGCCTAATGTAGCAGGTGTCCTGTAGGGTCCAATGGCACAGTCTCACCTATCACCCAAGCTGGGCACTCGAGGTGCTTTGTGTGAACTGAGGACACCCTCTTATAGTTGAGCCTTGATTGCTATTGGCAGGTCAATGGGAGGGATTTGCCCAGACCAGTCAGCTTCAAGGACTGGCTATGACCACTAACTGCCAACCTCCACCCTTTATGGAGGATCAGCTGTGCAGGGGCAGCATGGTGGTGCTCTGACATGGTCTGTAGCTGTACACTGGTTGCACAGAGTTTGCAGTTTCCAGGATAGTGCTGCCAAGGTCAGTCCTCACCTGTGTTTTGCTTGGGGCCAGCCTGCATGAGCTATAAAGTAATCCGAGGTGGCTGCTACTTTTGCTGGACTTGAAAATTCCCAGGTAAAGCCAAGCTGTGAATCTAGATTGTCCTGGGGCCACTTAGTAAGAGCTACTGGGGTTGGGGGCTCACTGAGGCTGGCTGTTTCTTGTTTGAGAGGACTTAGGAAATTGTGAAGCATGAATGGCCAAGACTGGCCATTCATATGGAAGAGTCATGTTACAGTTCGGTGGGCCTGCACGTTGGGTGGGACAGAGTCTCGGGGGATGTCCAAGGCAGGGCAAACAGTGTTAGTGAGGTTGATGGAGTCTTTGATGTGGCACCTGCCTTCTGGTTCTGTGGGTCTTTGGGAGGAGGGTTCAGAAAAGGGGCAATGGTCTCTGTCACCTCTCTGTCTAGGAGGGGAGAAAGCTGTCCCCCAGTTCTCACCTGGATGTCAGACCCTTCAGTTCCTCGATGTATGCCACTGCTGCCTTGCAAGCTGCTACTGCAGTGCTTGAGCCCAGTGGGAGTGAGTCTGTAAGTGTGTGTGGGGTTAAGAAGAACTGCCTGGGACTTCAGGAGTTTTTCCTACTGATTCAGTCCGTGCTGGTTTTTGCAGCTAGAAGTTATGGGGTACCTGGTGTGAGCCTGAGACTCCTCTGTACTGAGAGATTCCTCCTGTATTTTATCCACCACACATGGATTTGGGCCCAGCCTGTTCCACATCTCTGCCCCTCCTATCAGTCTGGATGGATGTGATTTCTTTAATTCTGCAGTTGTCAGACTTCCATTCAACTTGATTTCTGATGGTTCTGAGTGATGGTTGTTCTTCAGTTGTAATTTTGATGTGGTTGTGCGAGAAGGATAGCTGTGTTTACTTACCTATACCCCCATCTTGACCAGCTCTACTAGTATTTTTCAAAGTGTAGGTTGCAACCCACTGGTACATCATGAAAATAATTAGTGGTTCAAAAGAACAACGAACAGAAACACAAAGCAAAGCAACTTTGTTGCACATACTGTAAACCTTTTAAGTTACAAGTAAATATATATCTCTGCACATACACACACTTCACTAAAATTTGTATCTCACGGGCAACAGTCAAGTTAGAGCTTTGAAACTGTGTTCTTGGTCAGCCCTACCCTGCTACTCCCCATTTATATTCATGCAACCTACTATGACTAGAGAAAAAACTAGACAAGTATGTTGAATGATCTCTCTTGGATTGTAATCACTGAACTCAATTGAGCCTTCCTCCTCATATCATTAGCAACTCCTCACCTTCAGTGCTGACCTTCCTTTCTGTCTCCTTCACACATGTGAAGGACACAGAAGACAGCTTCCATGAGCTCCCATCACATTCACTACCTCCCCACATGTGTGCCCCCCCCATTCAGCTTTCTCTTCTTTTCCATAACTGAACCACCATACACTGAACAAAGGCTCCACCCTCCAACTGTTCCTGAGATTCCATCCCCCCTCTGTACTCAAGGACATTTTTCCAGCATCAATTTTTCCCATTCTTTGGATCTTCCCCATGAATACACAAACGTGCATTTTCTGCCTATCCTTAAAAATTAAAAAAAGGCTAATAACAATCACAAATAAAAAGCTGTCTATAATTCAGTAACAAAAATTGGTATCTACAGGGAGAGAACTGTAATGAGAAAAAAGACATCTCAGAAAATGGGTAAATATAGTTCTAAATTTTGAAAATAAACCTAAGTATATTATAGTTAATAGCATGATCACAGAAGGGAATTACTTCAAATGACTTATTAAAAAGTCTATTAATTGCATAACCCCAGAACTACAGAGATATCTGTTTAAAATATGACCCCTATAGCCATACAAATGAATATATACAGCCCTAAAAAAAAACACGGATAAGCTTTGGAAACATTATGCTATGAGAAAAAAGCCAGTCATAAAAGGCCAAGTGTTATGGGATTCCATATAACGAAATATTCAGAATAGACAAATCCATAGAGACAAAAAGCAGATTAAGTAGAAGAGTGGAGAATAAAGAATCTGCTAATGGGTATGGGATTTCTTTTGGGGGAGATTAAAATATTCTGGAATTAGACACTGGTGATGCTAGCATAATTTAGTCAATATACTAAAAACCAATGAACTATCCACTTTCAACGGTTAATTTTATGGCACATGAATTATATCTCAATAAAAACATGCCTCATATCTCCTCCAGTTAACACTCCATCTATTCTCTGCACACACAGAAAAATCCCTCAAAAGACTTACCCACACTCTCTGCCTCAAACATCTCTTGTCCCACTCTCCACTATTCTAATTAGGTTCTCATCAGCCTTATCACTTTTCCCCAGATTCTCTAGTTTTGACCATATACTAAACTTAAATATTACCCATAGTACCAGCCTACTTACTCATAATACATAATAGGTTCTCATAAAAGCTTGCTGATTGAACTGAATTAATTAATAATAGTAAACACAAACTGAGCTCTATATTCAGTTTTTTAAACTTAGGAAGAAGAGAGAACACTAACACTTCTAACATCTTACCTCTAAAATAACTTTTTTTTTTTTCATTTGAAATGTGGGTCTCAAATCATGCATATTACAAACAAAATTTTTCAGCAACCTAAACACCATTATTTGAATCTTTCAAATAGTTCATCTTAAACACAACAATCTGCAGTATTAGAAAGAATTAAAAAGCAAGTGGAAATTCTAAAATCATCACCAAAAATTTGACAAAGTTTGAACATCAGAATACAATACTGTACAATTTCTAAAATTAAAACTAAAAACATAGTTACTCAAATACATTACTCAAGTAAAATAAGAGGTTATAAAAGTAACAAGGATCTTAAGACTGTGGATTACCTGTTCCATGGTAGGACAAGCAATGATGTGGATATCTTCAGGACTGAACTCTTCCTTTAACAAAACATGGAACTTCTGGAAGACTTGCTGAACATTATTCTTAGAAAGAGAAGAGGCAATCATATTAAATGAACCACTAAAAACATATGCAGTCACCTTAAACATTAAGCACTAAGAATGGTAAATCATAATAATAACTGACAAAACAAGTAGAGGAAATGTATCTTTCATGGGATTACCAAAGACATATAGTTTTCACTTAATATTTCACATGCTAGCACAACCCAACTAAGACTCATATAACACTTCCTGGAAAAACCAAACCATGGCAAGCCCTATCCCCCCAGAGAATCTTCAGCAGCATTTCTCACACAAAAGATAATTAAGTTTCTAGATACATAAAATGTACTTTTAAAAAATCAACCAACACTTCGGGTAAGGATGTGAGCTCAACACAAACCTGGAAGTTATGAGTTCTAAATTTGCTCTGACATTGAATACTTTAGTGGCTGCTGCAAGCCATTTATTTCTACTACTCACCAGCAATACTCCACAGGGCGTAATTCCTGAAATGCTACTCTTTCGAGTGTTAGGCTACAAATCCAATGGCAAGGTCTAACTATTTATTTATTTACTAATTTCTACTTTTAGATATAAGATAACTTAGTGCCAAAGGCATTTACGACAAAGTGAGGGTCGGGGAAAAAGGTACAATGAGACAAATGCCAGCTTTCTAAGCCTTTCAAGAATCACAGTGATTATTAGCCAAGTTCACTAGAATAATATAGCAACAGGAAGAGGTATATAATTTTTAAATATCCACAGGAAGAGTAAGATGGTAGACAAGGTCAGAATAGTTGAAGAGAGTGGCAAACATTCAAATAAATTATCATGACACTCACCCTAACAGGTTTAAACAAGATGAATTCGGTATCTTTATTGGATAGGTATAATGACATACTTCTCAAAGTCAGAGGCAGCTTTACTTTTATTGTCTTGTAGACATTTGTCACAAGGTCACTGACCTTTGCTGGAAAGAAATTAACCTCATCAGTGTCACAAAGAAAGAGAAGAAACATTCCCATTTTAATTCAGAGGGGAATAAAGGGAGAGGAAAAATAGCAAAAGAAAAGACTATTTCCCCAGAGAATTATTTCACTTTTCTTATTTATTTATCAAGTTTAATCACAAGCTCTATAAATAAGTATCTTCTAATACAAAATTCTAATTCCTAGAGCTAAGGCAGGAAAAAGAATTCCCCAGCATGCTTCAGGACATTCACTGGGCCTTTAATGTGGTTGATGCCTTTGGAATTTGGAGATAAGTGTTAAGGTAAACTAAAAAACCATTTGCAGAGAGACATTAGTAAGAAATACTTCACAATGATCGAATTTATTCATTTGCAAAACTAGCTCTCAGTAAGAGATTCACTCTGCCTCACAAGATCATTCAGAAAATACACACATATTTAATGGGAACTAAAAATTCATTTGTTACATTCTTATACTGTATCATCAGAAAGGGAATAGAATTCCAAAAGATTGTAACCAAAATAATTATGTAGCCCAAATACAGTATCTGAAAAGATAAAAATGAAAAACAGTAGTAAACTGTATTAAGTATTTAAAAGGAAAATACCTAGAAAACTACAAAAACTGATTAAAATAATTTCAAAGATGTTCAACCTCACTCATAATTAAAAAAAGGTGTATTAAAATATTTTCAGACTGGCAAAAATTATTAAGATTGTGAATATCCATGTTTGACAGGGGTGTAGGGACCTCACTCATCCACTGACGATGGGAGTACAAATTGGTTCAACTTCTTTGGACGGGTATTAGGCAATGTCTACTAAAATCAAAAATATACTCTTTTACTTAACATTTCTACTGCTAGAAATTTACCTTGATGTACTCATAAAATACCAAAATACGGTTGCACAGAGATGTTTATTAAAGAATGTATAGAAAACAAAAACTGAAAATAATTCAAATATCATTACTAAAATTACTATGTGAAATAGTAATATTTTTCACAATATTAGTAATCACAAATAGTAATATATTTCACAAATAGTAATATATTTCACAAATATATTCTATGCATCTATTGAACAGAATGGGTACAACTGGATAGGCTAGTACAGAAAGGACTACAAGACACAGAATAAAGTTTAAAAAGCAAGGACTTCAGTATAATTTTATTTGTACCACCTGTTTTAAGTCCACATATGCTGCCATATACATAAATAATTTGGGGAGAAAAACCATTACTAGTGGTTACCTTTGAGAGAACTAGTTAGGAAGTGGAGAATGGAATTACTTTTCATTTTATACGTTTTCGCAATTCAAACTTTATATCATGTTAAAAAAAAACCTTTTTTTTTTCAATTGAGGAGGGATGTGGTATAAAGCAGGGTAAGAAAGTGCCAATGTTCTCAAGAAGAAAGAACAAGTAATACAAAAATTGCTTATTCTTCATAAAATGCATAAAATCTCCTTTAAGACAATTAATTCCATAGGCTCTGGTTCTATTATCATTAACACACTTCAAGGATCACTAAGACAGTTTTCAGAGCCCTTGATCACCAAAAGGTGTGTGCAGAGCCCAGTAACAAAAGTACATTAATTCTCCCTTATCCAAGGTTTCACTTTCCACAGTTTTAATTACCCCCAGTCAACCTCAGTCCAAAAACATTAAATGAAAGAATCCAGAAATAAATAGTTCATAACTTTTAAATTACACACCATTTTGTGTGATAAACTCTCACCATCATAGCCAGGAAATGAACCATTCCTTTGTCCACTGTATTCACACGGCATTCACTTGTTAGTCACTTAGTAGTCATCCCAATTATCAATTTGACTACTGCAGTATCTCAATGCTCATGTTCAAGTAACCTTTATTTTATCTAATAATGGCCTGAAAGCATGAGAGCAGTGATGCTGGCAATTCAGATATACCAAAGAGAAGCCATAAGTGCATGTACGTATAGGAAAAAGCATAATATTTACAGGGTTTAGTACCATCCTTGGTTTCAGGCATCTACTGGGCAGGGGTTGGGGGTCTTGTACTGTACACCCTGTGGGTAAAGAGGACAGCTATCTCCTCTAATTCCTGAAAAGACATATTTCCCAGAGTAAAATAACAAAATGGCATCCAAATTTTAACTCAATCTCCTGTGAGTTTATCATGAAACGACCCCCAGAAACCTGATCAAATCTGCATGAACCAGTAACCCTGGGTTTCCAGTGGCCCAAGGTAAGTCCCTCAATTGTTTTTGATGTTCTCACCTCAAAAGCCCAAAAATCTCTGATATTACGTGGGAACTTCTTCTTTTTTTTTAATTACTCACCCAAGGATATGTTCATTGATTTTTTAGAGAAAGAGAGAAAGGGGGAAAGAGAGAGAGAGAACCATTGATATGAGAGAGAAACATCAATTGGTTGCCTTCTGGATGCACCCTGATCAGGGACTGAACTTGCAGCCTATGTCTGTGTCCTGACCAGGAATCAAACCTGCAATCTTTTGGTGCATGGAACAACACTCCAAAAAACAGAGACACCTGGCCAGGGCCAAGTTGTGGGTCTGCTGTATTATAGATCAAGAAAAAGCAGCTCCATAGCCCCAACCGGCTAAGCAGAAAATACAAGTAGGTAAACTGAAGTGCCATAATTTTATTCACCAAGATCTCCTCAGTTAGGAAAAAAAAAAAAGAGTTAAGTAAGAAAACAGCAAGCCCTATTTCAATCTGTCCTTTTGTTAGTTTCCTTTCATCTTTATTAACAACAATTCTAGTAATACTTACGAGCACAACACACCCAACACTGGGTGTTCTATTAGGGTTCCACTTGAAAAAATGCAGCTTCTATTTTAAGTGAAAGAGGATCTTTCCAAAGGCCCACTCTGCATCAAGGCCCCGGACTTAGCTATATTAAATATAAATATTCCTATGCCTATTTGTTGGTTACTATCTATTTTAAGAAAGATTACACCCAAGAGTTTCATTTTTGTAACATTCAAAAAAAAAATCAGCTTCTATTTCTAAATAAGCTCTGTAAGACTAAAATGTTGAGCCCAAGGCCCAATTAATCCAAAAATGATTAGAATTCTTTTGGAACCATGTTGAATTATGAACGTAAAGTCTGCTCCTGACTTTGAGGGGTCAAATCAGGTGATCATCACCAGGCCATTATTATCAGTAAAAGAATCTGGTTTTCTGTATTCTGACAGAATGTACTACAGCAACAAGTATGCTCTCTGTCCTTTAGTAAGGTGGCAAAGATTCCAATCTCATACAGTAAACACAAGGCCTAAAGCATGCATGTCACAAAGTTACTTCCAATACAGCCAACCAATGTAAACCTATATTGACATCAATGAAGTTCACATGACAAATTTTTGAAATAAAATCCTGCCTTCCTTTCAAATACAACTGATAATTCCTTCAACTTCTTAGTTCTAGTTCAACTTCAAATTAACATGAGGCATTAAATAATAACTGAAAATTTTAGAACAGCATCAATTCATTTTTCCCAAAATAAATACCTGACAGATATAATAACATTCTTTTATATGGAAAACCAATCACATTAGAAACTTAATTCCAGATTACATGCCTATCAACAGTTAATTCTTTATAGATGCTAAGCCAGAATCATCCCTTGGATCTCCCTCAACTATCAGCAAAAAGCTTCCCTACCAACTTGGGACAGAGCTTACTCACAGTAAATTAAAACACTGGTTCTTTCACCATTTTACCCTTTTTAGTTTCAGAGAATCACGATCACAATATGAGTCAGGAGAAGGCCAAAAATACCAATCTAACAAAATTTCTATTTGTTGAGTTCAATCTATTTATTCTGGTTTAATGGCAACTTAAAATGTCACAAAATGTACCCAAATAACCCACAAAGTTAGTCATGATTTTAAATGCCTAATGTCTAATGCTAAAGACAAAAAAAAAAAAAAAACCCTTTGCCCTGGCTGGAGTGGCTCAGTGGATTGAACGCTGGCCTGAGAACCACAAGGTCACCAGTTCAATTCCCAGTCAGGGCACATGCCTGGGTTGCAAGCTAGGTCTCCAGCTGGGGGCATGCAAGATGCAACCGATTCATCTCTCACACACTGATGTTTCTCTCTCTTTCACCCTCCCTTCCCCTCTAAAAATAAATACAAAAAGTTTTAAATAAAAACCTTTTAGCACACAAAAAAACATACGCTTAGGAAAGAGTAAGACTGGAAACATCTGATGCATATCTGCCAATGAGACAATAATACTGCCTGCCCACTCCCAAATGACACCAAAATTTTTATAACCTTTTTCACACACTCTAAAACATTAAACAGAGGGTATAATTTGCATAAAATTAGGAACAAATAATGTACAATATCCTTCATATAATACTTGAAAATAGTAGCATTCTCTCCTTATGATACAAATACTCTCATATACAGTATGTATCAAAGTAACAGTGAAAAGCGGGTATACAGAAACCAGCAGCCTCAAAGTGTTTCCATTTAAGCCACATTTTAACTGTGTTTGTGTGTATTTTTTAAATGCTTCCTTTCTTCCTTTCTTGAAATGCTTGTTGAAATGCAAGTAGTGTTGGCCAACAAAGACCTGCCAGCTTCAAACTGCATCTTGTACTAACCCAAAATACAGTTAAGAGTAGGAAACCAGTTCCAAGCTGTCAGAGCAAGGACTATATAAATAGAAATTAATCAATATCCTAAAAAAAGAAATTCCAAGTAGTAAAATGTGAATACCTGGTTGTGCCCAAGGCTGCTGAGAGAGACTGTACTTGGGTCCTCCCTGACTGGCCATTGTTTTTAATGCTGAAACCTAGTAAAAGAGATAAAGTTTCATTTCACTGATGACATATTAAACCAGTATTTTTCTCAAGAAACATACCACCATTTGAACCTATTAAAACATAATGATAATCAAACATACAACGCTAAAAGAAAATACATCATATCTCATAGTCCTTTACAACTAATAAAATATTTTAGTAAAACTTCTTTTGTGATTTCAAGGTATATATTGTCTTGAAAAAAACCGTGACAACATCCTGGGACATTCAACCCGAAACTCTACCTGAGACAAAAATGAGGATGTAGAAAAATGTTAACACAAAACAAGCCTTTTAAGTGGACTGTTATGTTAATAATAATGATTATCGTATGTTGTTAGAAAAATGTCAAGAGCTGGACAAAATCTCCTTTATATACCAAAAGGGTCCTTTCTTTATTACATCAGGCAGAGAAAGTGTTACTTAAAAAAATAAGATTTTCAAATGGCATCAAAAGGCACACTTAACCAACCAGTGTTACAGGTACAGGGTTGGATCCTCACCCTCCCTTCATCTCTCTTTTAGTTCCTCAGCACCAGTACAGAGAAGCAAAACCAAAAAAAGTAGTTAGCTTCTTGGACAAGACTGTTCTTAAGATGGCAAATTATGGTGGGGCTAAGGTGTCGCTGGGAAGGGTGACGGGCAGAAACTGCATAAAACATTTTTTAAAAATAGACTGTTAGGTGCCAAGGTCCAGGCCATGTCCATGAGATTAGATAATCTCATTAGAAAAATGTGAGCACCAACTCTTTAGATTTCTCATAAAGGGCACAAATATTTAGGCAGAGGATAGACACAGACAGCATATAATGTTAGCTCAGAGCTCTCCAGCGTTCTCTCTATTTCTACCAAGTTCCTATTTCTGGACCACTCTAAGCCTTTGCTCACACTGGCTTAAATATAAAATCACCCCTTTCCTACTGTTACTCAATTCTTCTTCATGTCTTTACTTTTCATTTTGAGATGTGATTTTAAAAGTCACAGCATAGCTTGGTCTTGGTTTGGGTTGCTATTTCAGATTTGATTGTTAGATCATCATGACCATATAATCTTGGAAAGGCCTTATAGTGGCCACTTGTGGTCTCCTGAGCTTACCTCTGGAAAGGCTGAAGTAGGGTGATATGCATACAAACTACGCTACTGACTACCTCAAAAAAATCTACATATGATTATAGATTAGATAATGCTAAGACAGAAACATGATTGTGTTTAGTGCTGGTGTAGGGGTTCATAAGAAAACCTTTGGGTCAGATATTCTCTCTCAAACTCAAAAGCCCATCCATGTTGTCGCAAATGGAAAGATTTCATCCTTTTATAAACTGCTGTGTAATATTCCATTATAAATACATACCACATCTTTATTCTTCACCCATTCATCTATCAGTGGACACCTATGTAGCTTCCATATCTTGGCTATTGTAAATAATGCTGCAATGAACATAGGGGTGCATATATCTTTTTAAATTAAATTAGTGTTTTCATTTTCTTTGGATAAATACCCACAAGTGGAATTGCTGGGTCATGTGTATACCCATTTTTAGTTTTTTAAGGAATCTCCACACTGTTTTCCATAGGAGCTGTACCATCTGCAGTCATCCTGAGACAAACTTTTAAGAAGGGCTTAGACGATCAGGGGTATAACAGAAAGAATACAGCATTTTGAGTCAGGAAAGCTGAGCTCTGGACCCCTCTGACTGAAACAGTAATAAGCAAGTCATTGAGTTTTTAACACTGCTCCCCAAAAATTTCAAACATAAATATATAAACATACTGATCTGTCTACACTTACAAAATAGAAACACAGTGCTCTGAAAACTTGTTCCTTACTTAAATATAAATTCTAGACATTTTTCTGTATCCAACAGTTATCTTTTAACAGTAATGGCTGCCTGTTATCGCACTGATTATTCCAGAATTTAACCAATTTCATAATGACTTTGTAAGTCATTTGTATATTAAAAACAAATACAAACATGTATAGGCATCTCTATTTACTATCTAGTTAATGTACTTATTTTTACATTAACCCTCAAAGAATATTTTCTTTAAAACGTTTCCCCCATTAGCCCCATCGTTTTTAAAAAAAACCCTACAGGATGAACGCAGGCCTGTTGTCTCACAATGGCACTGCTGTAGACATCTTAATGCTTACATATTTTCTACCCTGATTTCCCATCAGGTTATAGCTCCTTGAGAACAGAAATTAAGTTTATAGGTCAAATTCTATTGAACATACCACACCAAGAAAAAACATTTTAATTTATAATCTTGCCGAGGAAATTAAAAACACTAGAGAAGGAATATTAAGAATAAACTTGCAATACTTCAGCAAATTGCTTGAAAAATTAGTATTGCTAAACACAAATCTGAGTTTTTAGCATAAACTGATTTCTACAATACCCACAACCAGTCTGAGTCCTACTTAGTTTCTTTTAAGCAATATTCGATATGATAAAATTCTAGAACACTAAAAAAGTACCAACTGTTTGTGAGTCTGAGAAAAAATAATCTGACCCAAATGTTTTTGTATGAACCTCTAGCCCCAACACTTAGAACAATATTACATTCCCTAGGGCCAAATACTTAGAGAAAAAATTATTTTCCAAGGAATAGGAAATGAGGCAAAAGAGCATGTATGTTCTTCTAGAACTTACTTTACTTTTCCCAAGAAATTTCATGAATTTTACCCCCAAATCAGGATGTTTACACTAGACATATAAAGTCTGTCCAGAAAAATTTCAGCCATTCTTCATATAACAAGAATGATTTAAGCAACATCAGTATAACCTGGCAGCCAAGGAGAGTGGACTAGAATGCACATGTGTGAACAATGATGACTTTACTGTCCTAGTCAGTGGGGTAGCAGACACTGTTGCTTTAGCATATATACTCTGTAGCTGTCGCATCCAAAATGATTAAGAGGGCAAGATGCACTCACAGGAGTGGGGACAGTGACTCGGGTGATCCTGTCCAGAGGCATGTTTCTTACAGGGGCAGTGCCCCAACAACATGGAACAAGTTTTCATGGACGAGCTAAATTGGCATTCAAAAGCAAGGTCCCTGGCTTCAAGTTCAAGATAGCAAAGTAGGAAGATCCAAAGCTCACTTCCTCTCATCAACACCAAAATTGCAACTACATATAGAACAGCCATCTCTGAGAACCATCTGAAGACTAGCAAAACAGATTTTCTCCAGCTACAGATATAAAATAAAAGCCACAATGAAAAGGGTAGGAAGAGCAGAGCCAAAACCTAGTTGGTGTCTACCCTACTCCCTACTCCTCATGCAGTGACTCACAAGTAGGGGGGGTTATCACACCCACAGAGGTCATCCCTGAAGAGCAAAGGGTCTGAACCCTACCTGGTGGACCTGAACCAGGAAGTGGAGCCCTCATAACATCTGTCTTTGAAAACCACCAAGGCATACATCTGGGAGAGCCAAAGGGCTGTAGGAAACCCAGGTTGCTCTCTTTCGGAGTTCTGGCACAGAGGGAGCAGTTTGAAAAGCAACTAGGTCATTCATGAAGGTGATACATTTACTGATTTTAGCATGTGTGCTGGAGGGACAGAGGTCTGTTGGAACTTGCTCGTGACACAGGTGCTAGTGGGTACCATTTTCCCCCTTCCTTTAACCTAGCTGGTCTGACACCATCCATTAACCTTGCTAACACTGTTCACCCCACACTGGCATTTCCCTGAGGACCTACTCACAGTAGCACCCTTCCAAAGCACCTCCTGCCTGGCACACCCAGTGAGCGGCATCACTCAGCACCAGCACACAGCACTGTGTCTGCAATAGTGGGGGTGGGCTTTGCAGCCAGCCACATCAAAGCCTTGCCCTGCATTCCAGCGAGCCTGCAACAGTTGTGGCCAGGCCTCACCGCTAGAAGGCTAGATACCAGCCTTGACTGCTGGTGTGTCCATAGAAGAAGTTATGGCCCAGCCACAGGAGGCCATACCAGTCTACCCTCTAGACCACCTGGCTTTGGTGACAAGGGGGACATAGAAATAAGGGTCCCACAGGAAAATAAGGCCAGTCTTTCAAGACCAAGAGATTTAGCTTACCTACCAAATAGAATACACAGAAACAAACAGGCAAAATGAAGATAGAAAAGAGTATGTTCCAAATATAAAAACAGGACAAAAACCCAGAAAGAGAACTACATGAAACTGAGGTAAGCTGTCTACTAGATGAAGAGTTCAAAGTATTGGCCATGAAGATGCTCATTCAACTGTGCAGACAAACAATAAAACTCAGTTGGAACTTCAGCAACTTGAATAAAGTCCTAAAAAATTCTAAGAAAGGACATAACACAACTGAAGAACATTAACAGTTGAAATGAAAAAAATCACTGCAGGGAATCAACAGCAAATCAGATGACAAAGAAGAATGGATCAGTAATCAGGAAAACAGGATAGTGGAAGTCACCCAACTGTAAGATCAAAAAGAAAAAAGAATTAAAAACGAAGACAGCATAAGGGACCTACGGGACAACATCACAGGGGTCCCAGAAGGAGGAGAGAGGGAAATGGACAGAAAACTTATTTGAAGGAATAATGGCTGAAAACTTTCCTAACTTGGCAAAGGAAATAGACATCCAAATCCAAGAAACACAGAGTCCCAAACAAGATGAACCCGAAGAAACCCACACCAAGACACATTATAATTAAGTTGTTGAAAGTTAAAGATAAAAAGAGAATCTTAAAGCAGCAAGAGAAAAACAACAAGTCACATACAAGGGTATTATTCCCATAAGACTATGAGCTGACTTTTCAACAGAAACTTTGCAGGCCAGAGGGGAGTGGCATGATATATTCAACATGATGAAAGAAAAAAAAACTTATAACCAAGAATACTCTACCCAGCAAGGTTATCATTCAGAATTGAAGGAGAGATCGATTTTCTTAGACAAGCAACAGTTAAAGGAGTTCATCACCACTAAACCAGCATTACAAAAAATGTTAAAAGGAATTCTTTAAGTGGAAAAGGC